AAAAAGGAACAAGATGTGTCAAAACCACCCAGGTCAGAACTCCCAAACGACTTCCGCCTCCGCCGCGCAGGGGCCCTTCGGCTTGGCCTCGCGCATTTTGCTTCCCTGGGTTCTCTAGGCCTTGGTTGGTTGTAAGCTAGGTCCTCCAGAGAGGTTAGAAGGGTACCCTTTATCAGTCTATTTTAGTAGGGGAACCCTCCCCAAAAAAGGGCTACTGCAAAACCTAGTAAGGGAAACCTAAAACAAATTCACCATTTTAGGGCTCCTCGAAAGAAATTCACTGACAAAAACACGGGGGTCACCGATTTTGAGACAAACCCATATGGCGATGAACATTTTACTTGGGCGTTCGATTCGCTAATTTAGTAAGTAGCGGTTGGCCATCTGGGTTACAATCCTTGAGTCCCCCGTTCGCTGGGGTTTACCTTGTTCTCAGGGGGACAAAACCCAAGTGGCGATCGCCACTTACTAACTTGGCGAACCAAACTACCGAACATCCATGCCATGTAACTTAGATGCCCAGTGGCCATGGGAAAAAGAGGGGCATCCTGGTTTGTTGCTGGTTGACTTTAAAGGCTTTCAGCTTCCCAAAACAAGTTGAAAAAAGGAAGCAACCCACTGGGCAAGTGAGGTAAGATTTCATATGATCCCAAGCTCCAGAACCGTGGCCTAAGGAAAGGACCTGGCAAGGACATCACCAGACTGAATAGCCGCGCAAAGGCCCTGAAGTCAAATTCAAGTTCAACCTCGTACCCCTTCTCCTCGGTGACCTGCTTTTTGAGAGCTTCCAAAGCAGCCCCATAGGTTTTATCGTGAGCTCTGGTTCCTCATCAACCGCGATAAGGGTGTATATTGCTTCAACAAGCTGCTAACTTTCACCTCAATGACTGTGACGCAACTGGTCAAGATAAGGATTTGGAGCCCCCCAAAAACAACATCTGATTTCGGTCTGCCATGAAAGCAAGAACACCCTGAAAAACCGCGCCTCAGGCCTGAAAACTCCCTTTTTTGGGAATTCGCCCAAGTCGCCCCAGTCGAGTCCGGCGAGGGAAACAGCCCCCTTTCATGGGCAAGGGAAACAACCGAGGCTTTGGGATTGGGAAAACCCGCACGGATCACCCCGCTTCCCGCCCTCATCTCAGTCCGAGGTTTCTGTTGGGGTGGGGGTGGGGGGGTAATCTTCAGAACTCAAGATGTAAGCCCCCCAACCCCTTGATAAAGCTTACCCTCCAATCCTTGGAGCAGCAAATCTTGTTCTTAGCCAGATATTCCATTTACCCGTGGAGGTGGTAAAGGGAACCAGCCTTCAAAACACCAAAAGGAGCGTGGCTGGTATCGTGGCTTGCCTGAGATCCATTGGAAATTAGACGAATGGAAACTCCTTTCTTGGGTTAGTCATATGGGCATGTCATAAAATGGAGGAACCCCTAAAATGGTGCGGCTCCGTTTCAACCCAACCACATGGAGGGGGTGCTCATTTGGAGCCATAAGGGGAGGCATTGCAAGCCAGTGGCAGGGACTATTAGCCATCGGCCATAAATGGCCACTGGGATGATTTCCGAACGAGTGAGGGGCCAAAAAAAAAACGGCGCCCAAACTTGTTGTTTGCCACAAAAACAACGCAAACCCAAACAGTGACTAAAGTCCAGAAACTCGGGAAGTTTTAGACTTTTCTGCACATCCCTGTCTTGACAGGGCGGGGGATGGGAGGTTCGAATTTCATCATTCAAGTCCTTGCTAGTGCTCAGCAGGGAATGAGGTAATGCCCTATAACCCATCCCTTATGTTTCCTCTTTTTCGGGGACCCTATCGCACCAGCAAGAGCTGGCCTGGGAAAAAATGGAACTAGGCCCACGGAGTGGCGATTTCCATCAAACAATGGAACCTGGACCCTCAAACTACCAATACAAATGGGATATCACCCCATAATAATTTTGGGGGTCAAACCCATTTTTAAGGGAATTTTGAGGGTTCAGGAACTCGCAACTTGGGACCTCTGGGTTCCTCATTCCCTACCTATGAGGGCAAACGGAACTCGCCTTGGACTCCTCAGGAGCTTCCACCACACCCTCGGCTGGAGACCAAAAGAGAACCAGGTCTTTAAGACGTACAGCGGACGTACAGCAAGTCGCTGACGACCTGTTTCAAACATACCAACAAAGTGCTGTGTTTTTGTATGTTTGTAGTCGTCCACTGCAAACGACCCACTTTGCTTGAGTTGGCACCCGTTTTAGCTGCTCCTGAAGAGAGATCCAACGGATAAAACCCGTGATTTTAGGGGTCACCTCTCGGGTCACCTAAACCAAGACACCCATGAGAAGGAAACCATTTCGGAGAAGGTCAAGCGAAGCCGCTCGGAGGAGAGGGAACCTCCAGAGATTTGTGGCTTGTCCCCCGGGCCCTGACAATCCACCCTGATCTTTAGGGTGGGCACCAACTAAATTATTGAAGGCGTCTTCATCAATATGTTATCATGCTCCATGTAACAAACTTTTCAGGTATATCTGATATATCATCAAGATCAAAATGTATAAACAGTGGAATGTACTGGTGGTTTTCCCAAATGGTGGCTTTCCCCCTTCAAACAGTGGTTCATCAAACTTTTCAGGTATATCTGATATATCATCAAGAAACAGGGTTTTGCAATTGACTGGTGGTTTTTTTTGAAGGAACTTTAAGGGTGGTTTCTGAACCAGGGGTCAAGGTATTTCCCCCTTCAAAAGTTGCAATCTGGTGGTTTCCCTTGAACCGATCGCTGCTTTTGGAGCACTTTTGGAGGTTCCAAAAGAGGGGAAAACCAGGAAACCAGGTCACAACTGGCTTCACCCAGTTTGCGCCCTGAGCGGAAATACGGAGCTTCAAGATATGCAAAACAACAGTAGACTGCTAATAAAACTATAAGGCAATTATTCAAATGAGGAAACCAGGTATGGCATCCTCCTCAATACTTGATGGGTTGACTTTTAAAGTCAAAGTCGCAATGGAATATGCGCATAAACCCCTGCTATGTATATATATATACATATATACATATATATGTATATTCCCCCAGGCCGCCTCGCCCACCCCACCCCACCACACCCCACAAGAAAAGGAGGGGTTGGGGACATTCCGCAAAATATGTCCTCGAACATCAGCGTGGGAGCCCGCATTTCTGGCCATGGGTCAGCATCTTGAAACAGCGAAAGGCCAGCGCTGAAGGACGGTGTGGACATGTTTGTGTGGATGTGTCTTTTGTGGAGTTGGTACCCTTTCTGGTGTCGATTGAAAGCAAAGCCGCAGGGAACCGCCGTTGGAGGAGATTCAGCTCATAGGTGCAGCACCGACTCTTTGATTCGCGGAATTGAATGTGGGGCACGTTTTCAGGAATCTAAGGAACGGGTTTGCTCCCTTGGCACAAATTCGAGAATCCCAGACATACACGTACATATGTCACAATGTAACAATATGGTGTCCCTGCGATACATATATATATATATATATATACATATTACATATACACATACCTAATAATACTATACATACACATAATAATGCATAGATACTAGATACGATACTGGATATGCAAAATAATACACATAATACTATACATATGGATATGCATCCATACACATAATAACACCATAGTATCATTGCTGTATACCGCTTACACCCCTCTTTTGCAATGCTCGCCTCTTGCGCCTTGCGGGTGTCGTCTTCTGCCTCCAAAGCAAAAACGACAGCAACTGAGACCCAAGCGGGAACGAAGCTCGGCTGGCCCAGCAAAGGGAAGATCAAGCGAAAACTTCACCCCATAAACATGGAGCAGCAACCCATTTTGAAGAGACAAAATGTGAGGAAGTGCATCCACTGAATGTCCATTGCATCAAACTGACAAAATCACCAGTGCATCCAGGTGGTTCGCCACTTTCTCCTAGCGCTTCGAAACTTCAATCCATGTTCAACTCTTGGTGTTTCTATTGGGAGGCAAAGCTTTGATTACCTGCCTTTCGCCGGGGAATGGATTCACTACCAGTGGAAGCAGATCTCTCGTTTGCCATGGTCCAAGCCTCAAAAGGAGGGGTCCAGGGAGGAAGCCCGTGAAGCCTTTAGATTCTTGGTTGGCGTTGGGTTTGGGGAGCAAAAATTGCCAACAATTTAGCAGTCAAGTGGATTCGGTTTCAACCACTAAACCACCATAAGCAAAAATGAATCCAAGGTTTCCCAACAACAACCATGTACAGGAACCAGGGGTTTGAATCCAGATTCCCCAATTCCCACACCACCAATCCAAGCCGGCTAAGGGGTACCTGAATGACCACGGAGCAAAGTGGGGAACGTCACAAATTCAGGGCTAAGACTTCGCCTGATCAAACATCACCCTCACCAATGGAGCCGAACCTTGTGGTTGCCAAACAGGTGATGTTAAAAACCACGGGAAAAGTGAAATATGGGTATGGCTCAAAATTACAGAGCTGGGGTTAATTACGCGGGTTTTGGTCTTTGATTCCATTTACCAGGGTGCCATTTTGGTACCACTTTTTTGAGCCACAGCCATATAGGGACCCCTGACAAAGGTCAACCGAACAGGCAAAGCCAGGCAAAGCAAGGCGCAGCAGCTAGACCCAAGGGCCAGCACCACACGCGCACCGCGCGTGTGGCAAACTGAGAAGCAAACACTTTTGCTTGGGGGGCAGGGGGCCCAGGGTCGTCCCGCTTTTCGACCATCAAAACAATCATGTCTGGGGGCCCCAAAAAAGAAATATGTTGGTCCTTTTCGTGTTTCCTGAGAAACCCGTAAAAGGGAACCCTTCTACAAATTTCACATGAGTCACAATCAAAACCCGATATTTAAAATGGTCTACCCTGAGCCACGCTTCAAGAATTTTCAGAAGGCCAAACATATCCGCACATTTTTTCTGGCAAGGGGACTGCTCCTTAACCTTCATCAATCCCCGGGTTTGTGGCTCACCTGGCAACGAGCGGGTCTCCTTTTAAAAGGAGAGGAGCTTCCTTTAAACCTAACGGCCTGCCTCTGGCTCAGGCGCCTTCTCCTGTCGCGAAGAAAGAAGAAGGTGTGCTGGTTGGTTTGTTGTTTTTTCTCCCCTTTGGAACAAGAAGCAAGGAGTTGTGTGGCTTTTTCAAGCGCAAAACCTGATTCGACCACAACTCACCTTTGTTGCCGGCAAAAGCATGCTGCTTTTGCCTTTAGACTGAACTTGTAAAGACACCTGGCACCCGGAAGTTGAAAGCGAGCCTCAGGAAAGAAATTTCTGGTCCTCTTCAACATCCAAGGTGATCGATCGCCTGTAGGCGAGCTTTCGAAACGGCTGGGCCGTCCTCAGATCCACTGCCATAAGCGTAACTTTTGGTCGACGTGGAAACTACCGGATGGCTGGAAACCAGCAAGGGGATATGTCCGTGGACAAAACAAAACCCTCTGAATCCGTGGCAAATCGATATCCCAAACTGGAAGAGTGGGCCAAGAGGGGGGGTGCGTGGCACCTGTTTTCTTCTCACTTCCGAACGAGTAGCTTGGCCAGACAAAAATCAACTGCTACTAAAACCGTCTAGAGTCTAAACCAAAAAGGATACAGTCCGAAACGGAACTCAGGAAGTCAGGCTTTCTGGAGTGGGTGGATGTTGAAGGGACACACATCACAAAAATGACAAAAGGACGGGGCCCAGCTGTTCCAACCACAAGCCTCTCTTTTGACCTCCAGTTTACCTCTTGGTTGACCTAAAAAGCAGGTCGGAGGTCAAGAACAGGTGCGTCCCCTTAAGAAGGAAGCGCCGACACGTCAATACATACAGGTCACGCATGTTTTTTGAAACCACGGGATGTTTTGAGGTGGCGCCTAAAAACCTGATCAAAAAAACACAGGCCTACGACCAACTTCCCAGACCTCAGTCAATGGACTGGTTTCCCATAAGCAAGACATAATAGTAGTGGTGAACTGACCAACACACTAGGGGTTCATACCTGGGCTTTAAAATCCTGCACCATTCTACAATCAGCCCAAAACCTGAATTGAGGGATACCATCATCTCGGTTTTCCCTTGTTGATTCTCACGAAAACAATCCGAGCACCTTAGAATAGCCAGAATGATACAACCCCGAGTCCCGGTCAACACACCAAGCGGCACATCCAGCCTCCTTCTTTCGCTTCTTGGCCTGACCAAAGCCAGGGCGACACATCGAATCAAAGGCATGGCTGTTCAGAGGTAATGCTGACCCAAGAATAAGCCCATCCTACCTAGGTCCTCAAGTAGAGAGGTTAGAACAAGGGTACCCTTTGTTCTGTAGCCTATTTTAGTAGGGGAACCCTCCCCCAAAAAAGGGTAAAAGGGTAAAAGGCTAAAAGAGCACCGTTTGGAGACAAACTCACACAGTGGATGGACAAAATCCGTTCGCACCACTTTGATACCATGGTTGAAACCATTCTTTGCTGGCATTTACAGGGGGATGATCATTCCAGGGTCTCCTAGGTGGTGCAGGATTCGTCCATCCACAGCAATAATCAACCCCCGGTTTACGCGAAGGGGGGTGCCTGGGTGAAATGTGGGCAATCAGACCCCTTTTTGGAGGGGCCGCCCTATTCATAAACTCTCATAGATTCCCCTTAAAGCAACAAAGAGGTCAACATTTCGCTTGGGTGCCGCCAAGGTTCCGATGGGGTAAGCTCAAGCTGTTGGTCTTCTCAGGGGTCACTACAAAACCCCCCAAAATTCGAAGTACAGGCGCCTGGAGTCTCCATCTGACCCTTAAGAAATGGGGTCATTACCCAAAATCATGGGCTCACTTGCCCAAAAGACCTGGAAATAAAAGGTCAACCTTTTGGGACCTTTACTAAAAATGGACCAAAGTTGGAAAACCAGAAGGTCAAAAGGTCGATTCGCTTTGGGCAACTGAGTGGGGTCGTTGCCCCATTTTTAAAGGGGCAGAAGGAGACTCCAGGTGGTTTCCCTCGAGCCGATCTTTCTAACCGCAAGCTGGAGGCCTAAGGGAAATGGCTCGGACGCCCTGCCAAGGCCTTCAGACACCTTCCTCCACGCCATTCGCCCGCAGGGTGGTAACTCAAACCATTTCGGCTGACCCCTGAGGGAATGGGCGATAGTCTGACAAACCCCCCCCCATGGCACGATCCAAATCCAAACCACCCTTAAGGGTAACTAGGTCCTCCAGTAGAAATGTTAGAATAAGGGTACCCGTTGTTCTGTTGACTATTTTTGTAGGGGAACCCTCCCCAAAAAAAGTTGGTAAAAGGGCACTACCAACCAAAAAAGGGCCCGTGTTGTTGGTGTTTTCCTCCCTGGCCTCGGGTGCTTTCGTCTTCTCTTTCGGCTCCTCCTTCTTCGCCTCAAAAACAAAACCCTTTCGAAGACATGCGGACTCCAGGAAAGGACCCCCAAGACAAATGAGCGCACAAAACAGCACGCGGGGGTTGATGACGATGGAATAACTCATGGTTGGCAAACCACTCAACAGTGACATGTCCGACATGGGCCAAGCTACGGACATTGATCACCCCCAGGTTCTGATTCCGTTTCACTCGTTGACCCGAAAAAATACAAAACCCGTCATGGCATGGATAATGAAATTTGAAATGTTGCTGGCGGATTCAATCAGTGTCGGTTGGCAGGCAAACACCGTTCAACACCCCACTGGTCTGCCACCACGTTGCAGTAAGATATAAATCCCTTACTGCTTGAGAGTTTTCGCTTAGCTTAAGCTTCCGAAACAACTCTTTGAGTTCTCAGTTCGGGCGCAACTCTTAGGATCCGGATGTGGGGGTTGACTCCTTGTCCACTTGTTTCAACCTTTTCCCCTAAAAAGACTGGAAAGCACGGGGAAGTTACCTGATGTATGTCCAACCTGCAAAGGTTTTATGCACGTCAGCAACCCCCAGAACCTGCGAAGTCTAACCTGGAGCCACTCCAGACCACTCGGAACCTGAGTAGATGTTTGGCTTAGCGCGGGGTTGAAAGTACTTGGACTTTGCAGCCTTGTGCGGCCAAAATCAGCTTCCCTCTGATTGGTGGTTTGGATTCCTGGCTCCGTAAAAGGAAACCCAAGGTTGCATTTGGGATCTGGTAGCAACGCAACCTCTTCCCAATGCAAACCCCGTTTTGCTCTATGTATATGTATGTGTGTCCGAATTGAAGAAGACCTCACACCCTAAGGGTCCCGACTGTTTTTGGGCCCTCCAAATGAGTTGTTGAGGGCCCTTGAGGAATTGGTCGGGGTTCTCCATTGGAGGGTCCCTTATAGGGTCTGCATTGGAGGGGTCACGACCCTTAGGGCAAGAGGCTTAACCTGTTTGGTTCACCTGTTTGTTTCCCGGGACAACCGAGAAATAGATGGCGCTGCTTTAGATCGGTTTTACTCGATTTACCAGGGAAGCTCATCTATTGTTTACTCAATTTACTTAGGTTTTGATGGTTTCCTGGAAAGAAGGATCCCTGGAAAGAATGGGGGAAGGTACCAGTAGACCCGCACAATTGATTTCACTTCTCATGTTGGATGCCCTTTCACCAACCCTGAAAGGATACTCCAAAGAAAACGAGACCCCCGTCCCCTGAAATGGTTCATGTCCTGCTGGCTTCACTTAAATACCCAAGACCAACCTTGAAACCAAAAAAAACGACCTCCCCGAATTTATGGTCTTTCTTTGGTTTCCCCCAACAAAAGCCAACACAACATGGATTGTCTCCCCGAAAAAGACACGCGCACATCTACGCCTCACTTCCGAACGAGCGGATTGGCCAAAAAGGAAACCCCACACTTTTTAGCTGCAACTAGGAAAAGGTGAAAAGTCTCAGGCATAAGTGTGCTTTGGTTAAAAATAGATGAGCTTCCCAGGTAACTGGAGTAAAACCGATCTAAAGCAGTGCCATCTATTTCTCACTTGCCCCGGGAAACGAACTTGGTTCACGTTGGAAGGGGAGCAACAATTTATTTATTTTGCAGTTAAGTGGGGATTTCCCACTAAACCACAACAAGCAATAAACTATTCATTTCAGCCAATGGAAGTAACCAAACTAATCTAAAAAAAACAGGACACCTATGGCCCTTTTGAACTCAGAGAGTGAGACACGCACCAAACACACCAAGAGGGCTCCCTGTAGTTCCCCTTAACACATCACCCCCAAGGGACACTCAGCTTTCATGGGCCCAGAAGGTGATGTTTGAAACCAGCAGAAAGGGAAATGTAGGGATCGACCCCTGCAAAATGGGCTTCTTTCAAAAAGCCCTTGTTATTGCTAAAACAAGTCAACCAAAAACAAGTGTTGTCGCTAAAAAAGGGGCTACCCATATTTCCCCTGGGCCCAAAAAGTGATGTGTAAAACCAGTCAAACGTGAAATCAAATCTTGGGACCTCTTTTCTTTCTGTCTTCTTTCTTTCTTTCTTTCTTTCTTTCTTGCTTGCGACTCGCTCTGCAACTAAGTGCGCGGCGTTTTCTTGTTAGGGGGGGTATTGGGACCCCTGCAAAATGAGCGAATAAAATTCGACTCCACGCCTTGGGCGGCTCCTTCTTCTTCTCCGCTTTGGGCTTCACCTTCTCCACCTTCCTCGACGCGGCTGCGGCTGACGCGAAGCGGAAAGCAGCCCGACACACCTGAACATTGCCTTGCAAATTGTGGTTTCCCTTTATGTTGGTGTTGAACAAGCCATGTTTCAAATGGGCAAAATGTATCTTTTAAGGCCCTGTGGATGGACCGGACCGTCTGAAAAAACCTGCCAAAAAAGGTGGTGCTGGTCAGGGTGCTGGTCAGGGTGCTGGTCAGGGTGCTGGTCAGGGTGCTGTTTGTCTCCATGCTTTGCAGCTTAACTTCCCCTATAGGGCCCTCTTGAGGTACCACGGTTCTAAACAGAAACAAGGAAATGCCTCAACCAAATGATGGCTTAAACACAAACTTCGGCCCAAACCCTACAACATGTGTCTTGTGCTACGCTCTTTTCCTGTACCTATGCATATCTCACGGAACCGTGGCAAACAAAACGCCTCACTGAGTTGTTGCCACGAAACTTGGTCCAGACCCACCTCGAGGAACCGAGCAAGACTTGTTAGGTGGTCAAATCCTGTGCGGCCGCCTGCCAGACCGTGTTTCATGCGTTTTTGGAGTTGCAAACGGATTGCATTTTCACCAACGAGTTGAAGGTGCAAATCCAACCGCCTTAGGTCTGTCTTTGCTTTGGTTGATTGAAAAGGAAACGCAAAGGACACCAACCATGTTGGAGGTCATCTGGGTTGCATCTTGGCAAGTGCCCGCACACTCATTCGGTTCAGCTCACTTTCGTGTTTGAGCTGTTGCTCTGCAGGGCCCTGCGCTGCTGGAATCTTCATCTGGGCTTGCTTCACAGGAGCTTCGCGTTCTCTGCTGTAAGGAGTTGGTCCCATGCGGGGCAATGAGGTGGACCCGAGCAAAAACGCGTGACCGGTACAGCGTGCATGTCGCCAGGCAGTGCAGTAGTCAAATCCATCTCATGCTGCTTGAGGACTGCAGCAGGCACTCTTTTTGTAACATCCCTTCTTCCCATTTGGCCATGGGTCAAAAGCCCGGTTCGCCCCCAGTGAACATCCCAATCCCCACTGAAATAGACTAAAATGGGTGGTGCACCTACCCCAAAATGGTACTATTGGTTTTGACCCACAGCCATTTACCAAAACCTCCCCCTCCAGTTGACCTCAAAAATGGCCAACGCTACCCTTAAGCTACCCAATGCTAAATCGATAAAAACTTCCATTTGCTTAAGCCCCCTGGGAAAAACATATATATACATATATATGTCCAATAGTGATAGATTCCCTTTAAACCCAAGAGGGAAAATAACAAGTATTAATTTCAGCAAATGGAAGTAAAGGGTGGCTCCTTTGGTGGCCTTGAACAGGCTGGTGACCTTTGGTGAAAAAAGAAAAGCAAATATATGTCCAGTAGTGATAGATTCCCTTTAAAACCAAGAGGGGGGGGGGAAAAAACAAGAAAACAAAATAAATAGAAAAAAGGAAAGGGAAAAAACACACACAAAAACAACAACAACTGGAAGATAGACTCCACCCTGATGAACTCAGCCAAGCTCCCCGGATGTGCTTAGGCGATCCGCCCTATAGATCAACAGCCTTGAACGGATTTTTTACGATCGGGTTTCCATGAGGTTCCCGTCATAAGGTCTTACTAAAAAATGGCATTCTGAGTGTTTCGTGTCTGAAACCAAGGAAGGTTGCCTTGCGTGATTAAGTTCCCATCATAAGGACTTACTCAAAGTTGTGTTTGTTCACTGTTTGCCATTCCAATTTGAACACACCACTAATTCACGCAGTCCGAAACAGTTGTGGCCAAAAACCGGGGGACCCCAACAATAAAAAACCTCCCAGGCGCTCCCGCAAAGCTGGCCCCGCAAGCCCCTCACATAGCTTGGGTTGTCCTTTTGGTTTCCCTTCTAGGTCCTCCAGTAGAGAGGTTCGAATAAGGGTACCGTTTCTTTTTTCTGTAGTCTATTTTAGTAGGGTCCCGAACCCTCCCAACGTGAGAAAGGGCAACCAGCTGGGGGACCAAGCCTTTCAAGGGGTGGCCTCAAACAACGAAAACGGCCCAAATCGCCGTCGCTGCCGTGCCAAGAGGCTTCTCATCCTTCTTCTCAGCCTTTTCGGGCTTCTCAGCCTGCGTCACGGCTCCATTTTTTTGACCCGGCTGGTATGAAAATGGTCTAGAGCCATGCAAAGAAGTGAAAAGGCGGCCGTACCCATTTTAAGCCAGCCTTCTACGCGGGTTTTGATTTTCAGGTAGATTTAAATTGGGCCCTCAACCGCTGAAAGCGTGTTGGGGGGTCGATAAGGGGTGGCTTAGCGCAGCTTTTCAGGGAGGGTTCAAAAGGTTGCAGAAAGTTCGGGGCTGTTGGAGATACCACCCCACCTGGGCTTACTGGTTGTTTTAAAAAAGGGGCTCTCGGATACTACACACATGATTGCGTTTTGGTTTCCTTGCGTGAGTCTGCACAAGGGTTTGGAAACCAGAACTCCTGAAACCCAGGGTCCCTTCCCCCTGCAAAAAGTCCACTCAGTGACTCCATGTACCTCCACAGTAACCACGGGTTTTTTCAGTCAATAGAAAAACCAAAGAAGAAAAGTGGATCTGAGGGTTACCAGCGGCGAAACACCTGCAACAGCCAGTGGGTAAGGTCAACAAGTAGAATGGCCGCTTGGTTCCTGGGCCAGCCTCCTGTCTTCTGCCAAACTTCCATACCGTCTACTCAAAATACCCCCCCCTTGTTTCAGGGTATTTTTGGGGAAACCTGGTTTGCCATGTTAAATACCTCCTTTTTGGAAGAGCATGATACCCTGCAAAAAAAGTGGGTATTTGGAGTAGCGGGTACACAAACAAGCGGGGCCGAATTCAGGAATCCCTGCTTGGGTGTTCGATTCGCCAACAAGTCGTCAGGGCAACCTAGGCAAGAGCCCACTGAGTCACACTGAGGGCTTACTCTTCGGAGGTAAACCAAGTGGCTGACCACATCGGTAGCTCGTCTTTGAACACCCTGCGGGAACCAAAACAGGGTTGCTCATTCCCTGGCAAAACTAAAGGAAAACCACAGGAAACAGGAAAGCCACGGGAAAACTAAGGGAAAACCAAGGGAAAACCAAAGGACAACCACGGAAAACAACAAAAAAAACACACCAACACCACAGAAAGCCTATATCTAATCTTTTTCACTCTTCTGCTTCCAGCCTTTCGAGACTCCGAGCAACTCGCAAGGACCCCTCATTCGAAGTAACCCACCCATTGCTGGGCCAGCCTCGGAGTTTCTTGAACAAATGAACTTGTTGTTTGACAGGGAACATGAAGCAACCTGCACCCTCAAACTACCCACGAAAAAGGGGGCTCACCAACACATTTTGACCAATGACCCATTTTTACGGGAATCGTGAGGGTCCATCAACACGAAAAAGGGCCGCAACAGTAAAACAGCTTGGCCCGGCACCGTTTTCTTTGCTGCGTCCTTTCCATGGTGACTTGCTACCCCCCAAAGCCTCGTCGGGCAAACACGTATTTAGCCATTCTTGCGTGTCGGGAGCTCGAAGCCTGGCGCTGCTCCAGAGTCTGTACCACGTGGAAAGGACGGTGATTGGTCGGAGCTTCTTTGACCCCTCGCTAGAGCCTGGCTTTGGAATGTGGCACTGCCATCTTCCGTCTTCACGGCGTGAGCCGCCCACTCTTTTCATAGCAATCGAAGAGTATGCTCGGGTGCTGCCACACTGTGGCATGTCTGCCACTTCATCACCGTGCCATCCATGTCCCGCAATCTTCGGAGCCGATCGGCGGCCTTGAAAGGGTAGTCTCGGCAAGACACGTTCAGGGCTCAACCCACGGACAAGATTGCCGGGCAACTTTCAAGTGGTTGCTGTTGACCTGGGTCCAATGGAAAATCCACTGCTTCCAAACAAAGTTAAAGCCCAAAGATCCAGTCAAATAGCCGTAAAGCTTTATTAATTTATAAGTGGTTCATAATCAAGCGGCGCGCACATCCAAAAAGAGGCAAAATACAGCAATATCCAAAACACCGTATCCAACAACGGGGCCCTCAAGGATGTTGGTCGAAGAAAAGTTGACAAGAAGTATACAAACAAGCGGCAGCAGCCTTTAAAAAAGAAGAGAAAGGAAACCGTTGGGATCCGAACCCAATTTTGGGACCCATTGTTTTCCTTCAGGGATTTGCACGTCTTTTCCCACAACATGAGTGGTTCTCCTTTTGGCTTCCCTTGAAACCACCAAATTGGAACCTGGGCCCTCAAGGTTCCCGCACAACAGAGTGAATGCTTCAAAATTGCGGGGTCAAGTCCCTTCTTTCTGGGTAGCCGCCCAGCTGCCAACCGGTCGACGTTCTGCCATCCGCACCTTGGCTGGCTCCTTCTTCTTGACTTCCTGGCATGGATGGCGGGACGCTTCGCCCCGAAACCCTGCCCGGAACTGTAGCCTCTAGGGCTAAATGGAACCCCCTACTAAACCAACAAAAAAAGAACAAAGCCCTTAAGCCTTTGCTTTTCAACCCAAACGGTATGATAACAAAAGATACCTTTTTTTCCAGCACCCTGCCAAAACAGAGAACAGGAGCAAAACACGTAACAAACTTAAACACATGCCAACAGTGAAGTTATATTTGTATATATAATATATATATATATATATGGTGGTTGATCTAAATTCCTTTGTCTCGAAACGGCCATTCTTCGCGAATGTAAAAGTTACTTTCGCGCATCTTTCGCGGATTCATCGCCGTGCTCTTTTCATTTCTCGAGTCGGAGAATCGCATCTTTTAAGTGCCAGCGTTGTAAGCGAAATGACGATTTCCCAACTCCAGCTGTAAAGTCGCAACTTTTCATCACAGGGGTGGTACATGACATGCGCCGGCTGGAAAGTCGCAGCTTTTCGTTCGCCGTGCAGCTCCAGCTTGAAGTCGCAGATTTCCAGTACCAAGCTAGTATACTGACTAGATCGGCGCTCAGACTATACCTCCCCTCGCAATCGAAGCCTGCACTTTCGCGCGGGCTTTCGCGGATCTTTCGCGGAACTTTCGCGAAAAATCGCCCACGTTTCAGAGCGGAAAGCCACCGACTAACACCCACAGACACACATACACAGGCTTGGAGCACTAACCAGCCAAGCAGGGTATCAAACTGTAGCCTCACCAGGCTTAATCAGCGCAACATCAACAAAGTGTTTCAATCAGAATAGAAGGAAGGCTCAGCAGAAAAGATGAACGGTTCCACATATCATTGATTAACCAGATACAGTTACGCAAAACTTTCGCGAGAAAAAAAGCTACTTTCGCAACTCCATCGCGAATCTTTCGCGGAGCTACCTCAACCAACACCGATGGTCACCGAATACTAAACTCATCTAAACTCCTTACAAGGACCTTTAGAACGACTCCCATATCAAAAACAACTATTCGCCCCTTGCTGGTTCCGCGACACTCCCGATGACTTTGAGACAGGCAAAAACCGCTCAGACACCCTTGAGTGAGATCCCCCTGCGAATACCCAGAAACGATGGATTCTCATGCCACATTATTTGGCCAACATTTGATGTACCCTCTTTGGTCAGGAAAACGCCCGAAAGGAAACCGGTCTTCCAAAACCGATCAGCCTCCGGTTTTTGGAGAGGGCATAGTTCCCAATTGGATGTACAGCGTACGTCTGTCCAGGCGCGCGACAAAATACTCACCTGCCTGAGGTTTCTATGTCTTGTCTCAGTAGGACATCGAGCCCAACGCTTTGGAGTCCTTTTGTTTCCGACCGTTTTTGCCCCCGACCGCTTTTCTTGGATCAACAGAAAGTCCAAAAAAGGCCGTGCTAACGAGGCTTCACCAACTTCGGCAAAATCCGGACCAAGCAAGGGAGAATCCCTCCATAGATCGATTCCCTCAAAAGGGCTTGCCTCGTCCCGTACGTGCGAATCGAAAGTTGGCAACTTCAAGGTTGACACTAAACCAGGTTTGTCACTGTGTCTCAATACGCTCGTTCAGTCTCAAGAATTCTTACCCAAAGGCTCCCGACTGATCGGGCCAAAATGAAGCTGTTTGAGGGCCCCTGTTTGGTGTCCCGTTCAGAGTCGAGCCCTCCCTTTGGCAAAGTCCTTCATCTGGGTACACAAGAACCGAGACTCTCGCTGGGCCAAGTGAACTTCCAGTCTCAGATCCAAAAAAGTCAACCTACGCATCGAATAAAACAAATCGCGACGGGCGACCATGGCGCATCGAAGAAAACACCCGACGAGAGCGCGCGATGCGCACGCGCTCTCCCTCGTGGGCCTTCTTCTTCACCTCCTTGGCGGACTTCGCATCGCCCATGGCGATCAGCCGCCGGATCTCTCGAAACTCTCGGCGGATCTCAACGGAAGCTCCTTGCTGCTTCGCGCGCCATGGTTTGCTTGGCAACAAAAAGGCGGGGGCTGGCTGACCCCGGCGCGTTTTGAGGCGCAGAAGATATTTCCATCTTTAAATCCGCGCCAAGCAACGGCGTGATGTTGCGTGAGCTGCTGGAACACACACCACGGCTTCCACTTCCACTTCTGGAGCCAAGGACATGTGCGGAACCAATGGGCACAACAGACCTTCCTGCTGGCACCTCGAACGGAAGGAACCCCTCGACGAGACCGAAGAGATCAACACCCAGTGGTTGATGGTTGAACCCATGAGGTAAGAACCTGGAGGCAGGTGGGCTAGAAGGGCACTGGATGCACCTCTAATCCTGCTGGATTCTCAAGCCACCCTGAAAAATGGGTACCCTGGAGATCTTTGTCTTCCCAGTGTTTGTGTGTGTGCAAGTCTGGACGCAGAATGCACGTAGCTGCTGACAATTCAGTGATATTTCGACCCTATATTCTACTCCTTGCGGGGAGCTTATCACAGTGTGTTTGGGATCCCCTCGCCGCAAAAAAAAGAGGGAGGGTATCGCTTTGGCCTGTTGCCTGATGCTCGGGCCCATTCTGGCATCAGGTCCCTTGAGAGAACACATTTCTGCATACGCCATGATGGCACTATTCCCTTTACCCTCTTTCCAATCAAGGAAGTAGACATGGGGCTTCCCAAGAAGGAAGGTAGTGTTCCAAAACCCTCTTGTCAAGCTGAATGTTGTGTCATCTACTCTGAACAAGCTCACGAGTTAAGAAATGTGGTCGTTTAAGGGAAATCCGAACTTCAACAGTCCGCCCCCGAAAGGACGTCCGCTACCCTCTTTCCAACAGCTGGACACTTCCCAAAAGGAAAGTAGTCCATGATGGCCAGCTTCCGTCCCAGACCCTCAAACTACCCTTATCGCAATGGTTGCAGTCACCCAATAGTCTCAGTTGCCGTACTGTGGATGGACGAATCCATTTCGAACCACCTTCAAACCATAACGTTTGTCGATTTTTTACAGGGGAATCATGGCGAACGCCACTCGCGCGGCTACGCTTCCATAGAAGCCCCAAGGCTTGAATCGGCTTCAACCCGAGATTTCAGCCTCTAAACTATCCAAGGACCTGCAAACATGGCCACTGTGCAGGTCATGTTGGGGGACTCCCCATTTCGGACTTCGGTTCCCATTTGGACTACATCCGGGCGCTGAAAAAAGTTGGAGCCCGACTTGGTGTTGCGCTGCGCTGTGGCACGTGTACTCAAACATTTGCAACACCTACTTCCTGACAGCTACGTACACTTGTTCATGAAAAATTACCTCTCTGGCCCTGGCCAAGGCTTTGGGTTAGTCAAACAAGGAGCCTGGTCAAACCATGTGAAACAGTCACCTTGCTCCTCAGTACTTAGTGACCCTCAAACAGCCATGAAGTTAGGTAACTCCCCTTATGGCTCATCATAGACAACTTCCCGCACCGGTTGCGTTTATTTGTCATGGGGCTTCGCCCATCCCAACTGGCTTCCCAGCGGTGTCTGACTCAGACATCACGCTGGATCTCCCATGCCGTTCTACCTCCCCATGGGTCCCCGGACCCCTCCAATGCAGACCCCGGACCCTCTGGAGAGCCCCGACCCTCCAATGGAGAACCACGACCCCTTCAAGGAAACTCAACAACAACCCTTTTGGAGGGCCCAAAAACAGGCGGGACCCTTTAAGGGCCCTTAAAGTATGTGAGCCACTTGACTGATGAAGGTTAGTAGGGGACAATCCCCTTGCCATAAATAGCTGCGGATATCCGCCTTCTGAATTCTTGAAGCATGGTTCTGGGTCGACCATTTTAGTACCGGGTTTTGATCATGACTCATGTGGGCATGATGTCTTTCGATTCCGCCCCCCCCGGGTTCTCCATTCCCAGTTGCCTAGTGACACGAGTCTCACTTCCGATCGAGCGAACTTGCCCAAACTTGTCCAAACTTGACCGCGAATTTCCGCCCAAACCCAGCCAGCTCAAGTCCAGCAACTCGGGGAGTGAGTGGCACACAAAGAAGGCGCTTTCGTTGCGGCAACCCATTAACAAAAAGGATCTAGAGGCGCCCGGGATCCACTCGGGATCTCGCCTGTCAGAGTTGCCTATATGTGTCCTCACAACATCACCCCTACCAACACAAACTCACCTTAAAAGGGGGTCAAAAGGTGTTTTAAACCAAAACGGGAAATATAATTGGTAGCTATTGACCATGTTTCTTGTTTTTATTGCAATTGGGACAACTCGTCGTTTTCCCAAAAGTTCGTGTTCGAAGATCATTCAAGACAGGGAACCCGGCTCTCTTTTTTGGGGCGGCGCTTTGGTTTCCTTTAAACCAACCCCGCAAAGGGTACCCAGAAATAGACAACACCCCCGGCAATCAGGACCGTTGCTCTCTGCCATACCAAATAGTCAAGCCATCCTTCGCCCCTCGGAAACTGTGGAATCCCATCAGCTGGGGGAAGGTACGTTATTGGGGTGGGTAGTTGAGAGCCCTGAACCGTGTTTTTGAAGGCCCTACAACTGCTTAGGGAGCCTTAGGGGAGCTGGAGGGCCCCCCCCCAAACCAACACCCTTACTTGGATGCTCCACCCACTATATATGTGGGTTATAACCAAACTCATAGCTGGGGATTCCTGGGGTTAGTTGGCTTGCCATCGTGATAACCTAGAATTATACTTGATCTAGGTTGAGCATCCAAATAAACCGCTGGATGCCTCTCAACAAGCTACTTCCTAAGTCTTTTTAAGTCGGCAAGGCAGGGTTCCACTTTTTGACTACGTCAGGGTAGACTTAAACCAAGGGGTGGCCCATTACCCCCAAAAGGGAAAATTATGGGTTTAAGTCTATCTTGAAAAAGTCAAAAAGTGGAACCCTGAGGCAAGGAACATCCAAGGAAACAACTGCCCGCTCGCCTCGAGGGCAGTGTCCCGCAGAGATCGCACCACTTGCTCTGGGGGCAGCCCCGTATCCCCGAAGCCGATGGTGTCCAAGACCGTGAGATGCCCGTCCTCGACTCCGAACTCCGACCGACCGACTCGGGTCGGTTTTTGTAGGCCTGTAGGAGCTATGGCTTCTCCCCGCTTCAAGTTGGGTTCCGATTTGGAGACCAAAGCGACATGTCCCACCCAAAATGGCGAGGCTCTTGGTTTCCCCACACCCGCACAAAACACACGCTCAGTTGCCCAGTTTGTACCTTATGAAAGGTGATATCACCTTTGGGGACCTTAACTTAACATGGACCAAATGGGAAAACCGTTCAAGGTCAAAAGGTCGGCTTTGGACAACTCGCTATTCGAACCAGACGTCCCTTGTTGCCTTTACAAGACGTTCAGGGTGCTGGCTCTGGAATATGATGATTAAACAAATGCCCATCCCCTGGTGGGTTTCTTTGTGGGTCAAGTAAACATATGCGGGTTACTTAGCACCCACCGTGCGGGCGAACCACGAGGGGTCGAAAGAGAGATCTATTCGCAGATTGCAACCTCCCCCCTCCCAACCTCTAATGTTGCCCGCAAATTCAATTACTCTCCCACAAATTAACATGGCTTGCCCAAAAATGGTGTCCTTTTTCCAAAAGAGGTTGTTCTCTACAAGTCTGTGCTATTTGAGTCTCCTCCGGTGATCTTCGTAAGGGTAGGGACTTTGCGGCTTCTTTTTGACTTGCCTGAGGGGAGCCCCAGTGCAGTCCGTGGATGGTATTTTTCTTGGCTGTCCGTTTTCTGATCCTGCCAAGCGTCGAAACCTTTTAGTGGGCTAAATGGGTTGGTGGGTGGTTAAGGAGTGGTTTCCCATGTACCCTCTACAAAAGCCAGGATTTCAAATCCCAAACCACCAATCCAAACCACCAGCTAAGGGTTACCTGATGAGTAGGCTTTGGGGAAATTAGCACTGCGAACATCACAATAACACTAACACAGACACGGAACTGCCAAAACACACGATACAAGTTTGAGATGTATTTGGGTGGCTTAGAATGGGGGGACCCCAAAATACAATGGTGGTTGTCCGTTTGGTTTTCCTTTAGACCAGCCCCAAACAGAAACCTCAAACAAAACACGGCCCCATGTGTACACATGGGATGCATTCCGAACGGAAATTATTTTGATGGACAACTGCTCCGCGGCTTGTCCCTTCCCTCTCAAGGTTTGGATTCGTGGTCTGGAGTTTGGGGGGGGGGGTTCACCATTTGCCCTTTACAAGAACCAGAGTCTCAAATCCCCAAATCACCAATCCGTGGCGCTTTACAGTAGCTGTATCTCCCATTCAACCAACCCTGGGGGTAGCTTGGGCTTGAGGTTAGCGGGAACCATGAAGAAGAACCGCCTGGAACAAAATCGGCCGAGCAGCAGTGGACGTGGCTTTTCGGACCTTAGACAAAGTCCAAGATCCCAGCCCGACCCAGGTAGCAGGGAACCCTCAAAAGGAGTTTTGGTGGGGAACGAAGTGAAATGAGGGGCCTGCGCGAGGAGGGAGAGGAGAGGGCGAGGGAGCCCAAATACGCCCTTATTAAGGCCTTATTAAGGACTCCCTCCGCCTCCCTTCCCCTGAAGAAAGGATACTAAATTGGGATCGTGGGCAAAACACAAATGCGCAGTCTCTCAAAACGAACAAGAACTCTCAAAGTGGGCTGGCTTCTCTTTGGCAAGTTTTCTTCCCAAGAGTCCCCAAGCAGAACATCTCCCAAATGAGCCACAGCCCACCTGTGCTGTCCCAAAGCAAACGGCAAGAAGAAACGCCTGGGATCTCTTTCCGGAGGCCCCGCTGGAGACAAAGCTCCAACCTTGTCCGAGAGGCATAGAGCAAGGCGGCACATGCGCAAGCGCAGAAACCGCCAGCAATAACTCGAACTCGAGCAGTAATAAACAGAAACTCGACATGTGCTGGCTGTCTTGTTGCGAAAGTGCCGAAGGACCTTACCAGCACAAAGTGTTGATTTTGCGCAAAAGGGGAGATTAACTGTTGCAAATCAGTCAATGAGATGCAGAGAAAACATGTGAGCTACCAAGTGGAGTAAACTGACGACACGCGAGCTCAAGCAAAACATATAAAGGATCTGGATCTCGATTATCTACCTACACCAAAAGAAGAACCACCTACTCAATCGCTTGCTGGGAATGAAACGGAGCACGAACAAAGGCGCCATTAGGTAGGAACCAGGGTGGACGGTGTGTAGTGTGTGGTGTCTGAATTTCATTTGATGTTTGCTTTTGACATCCCCCTTATAGAACCGTTCGGCGTTCAAAGGGCTCGCAGTTAGGTTGCAACCATGGTGAGACAACTAAGGTAACTGGGACCCGTTAGTCGGGACCCTACGAGGGTCACAACCTAAGTCGGTTGAACTTCGAGACGGAAGGCCCTGAACAACTAATTTGCGTGATACTGTGGATGGACGAAATCCTGCACCGCTTTGAAACCACTAGAAACAGTTTTTTGTTTGGTATTTACAAGGGGATCTATCATTCCAGGGATTCTTAGGTGGTGCAGGATTTCGTCCATCCACAGTATGTCTTTGGTTGTCTCAAAATAGGAAGACACAACTGGGTATGTGCGTTTTTGTTTTCTCCTCGTTTCAACACAAGTCATGGTTCAACAGCCCCCCCAAACTAAAAGTAGTACATTTGAGTCTGATCCATATGCGTTGATTCTTCTCCACATGGGTGTCTCAAAAGAGGGGAACTTTCGAACATGTGCGGTTGTACTTTGGTTTCCCTCTGAAGCCACCCGAGAGGGGTACCCTCAAAAATAGGCAACCATAGCCATGTGAGGTGAACCTTCGACGAGGAACTCAAGGTGTCCACCCCACAGGCTAAGGACCTAATTATACAATTGGGCTTTGGACCCAGGGCTAAACGTACAACGGCAGTGACATGCGCCATGGTCAAGGTTACTTCTTTCCCCAAGAGGACATGGGAAATGTTGGGCTCCGTCCCCGCCATTTTGGTCAGGTTTCGGGCTGGTCCGCGCGAAAGTGCCCGAGCTCAACACGGGCCATAGCTCCAACAACCGGAAATGCTGACCAAACCGTTACCTACTGTACACTGGGCAGAAGGGGCCAAATAGTTAGAATCGGGGGTTCGGGGTACTGTAACGCCAACTGAGCCATCATTTGTTTGAGTAAACTCAAAATTATCCTTGCCAGGATTCTTCTTGCAATTCACGCCCGTGGCAAGTATTTGTTTGGTCCCTGTGGGTATGTATCAAACAGGGATTTGGACCCAAACATGCTGGTATGTGTTTTTCCTCAAAACAAGTTCCAAACTGCCCTCAAAGAAACACGGGGCACCTACTGTGGATGGACAAAATCCTGCACCACTTTGATACCATGGGAAACCGTTATTTGCTGGTATTTACAAAGGAATGATCATTCTAGGGGTTCTTATGCGGTGCGAAGTGGATTTCGTCCGTCCACAGTACCTCTTGTGCACTGCACGTCCGGGCTTCTGGAAAGAGTCTGGACGGCGGCCAAGATTCCCCAAACCATGTCGTCCCAAAGCCAAATGTTTTGATGCTTGTCCATCCCTCAGTTGTTCAGTGACCCTGGAGAAAAAAAGGGAGCCCTTCTTTGGGCTTGACACTTTTAGTGGGGCAGCCACCAAAAACAAAGGGGGACCTTACCCCTTAAAACTCCCTGCGCCCTGGGGAAGTTCTCATCGTTTACAGACATATAGCCCATGTTACCCCAGAAGTTGAGACAAGTTTTGTGTTCTTAGGAGGCAAGGGACAAAGAATCGGAGCCACTGACCAACTGAGATCCACAGCAGCAGCTCCGTCCGAGGCGCGGAGTCCTGGCCCGTCACGGAGGCCACCGAGTCCCCGGCGGCGAAGGCCGGAAAGCCTGGCGGGTCGAAGCCAAACGGGGGGAGGTCTCCGAGTGGCGGCTTGGGGCATGGGATTTTACATAATATATATATATATATATAGAGAGAGAGAGAGAACGAGAGAAAGAAGGTTTTCTGATATCAAAAAAACGGAGCAGTGTGTGTGTGTGTGTTTTTTTTTTGCAATATATGGAAAAACAAGAAGTGTTGTTCAATTTCTCACATCCAATGGTGGTTTGGAGGGTGGGTGGTTTCCCATCTACAAGAGCCCGCAGGCTTGGTGGTTGATCCCTGGTTTCCCGCAGAATCCCAGGCGTTCTTTTCCACAGTAGTAGATGACCCTTCGCCATTTTACGGATCCACTGGGCTTGGCTGCCCATATTTTCTCTCCTGAGAATCAGCAAGTTGCTCACTAACAAAAGGGTTGTTTTGCTGGTTCCTTTTCTGGGGAAGTTTGTGAAACAATCCTTGTCTGACATGATTGGATTGGCCAAAAGTAACCAAACCCAAAAAGTGACTAAAGTCCAGAAACTCGGGGGATATGAGGATTAAACAAAGCAACTGATCGACTCCGTCTGCTGACAATGGCGCCTGAACCAGATCAAGCCTATGAACTCACGAGTTTGAGCCTGTTGAGCCCAGGCGTTCCGCCGCAGGTAAGCCGCCGATCTTTGGTCTTACAGGGGTTTCGTATGTTGGCTGTACCTGAACCCTCAAAATTCCCTTAAAAATGGGTTTGACCAAAAATTATGGGGTGATATCCCATTTTTATGGGTAGTTTGAGGGTCCAGGTACATGCCATACGGGGGGATTGTTTCCTTTTCGCTTCCTCGTTCTTTCCTTTGCAGATCGGAATTCGGATTTGACCACCCATGGCAGCGGCTTCGAAACGAGAAACCGCCGGGTTTAACAAAACCAGGAATTCCCCTTTCGGGACCCTTAAAGGGAAACCACGACTGCCTGTGTAACACCTTAGGCAGCACACCTAGGTACTGCAGATTTGAGAGGTTAGAATAAGGCTACCAACTTTTCTTCCGGTCGTCTATTTCAGTAGGGTCCCGAACCCTTCCAACCAACCAAGTTGGTGAGAAAGGGCACCCAGCTGTGGGGACCTAGACACCCAAGGCAATCCGCGCCTAGCAGCAGGTTGGCCAGGTGGCTCTTGCCCGCCCCGGTCTTGCCGAAGACCAGCACCGTCCAAGTTCGGCCGGCCTGGAACTCCTGGTCCGCGGGGGTTCTTCGTTACGTCGGGCGAAAACCGGAAAAAATCCGGGCTCCTCCACGTGTGTTCGTCTGGAGCAAATGAGAAGATATGTCCAGTGAAATCGATCCCGACTGAAAGCCAAGGGTTGAAAATCAAGCATGTTCCTAAGCAAATGGAAGCTTTGGGGGGCTGAGGAACCAGGGAATCCCTTGAGACTCCTTTTGAATCGATGCGACCCCCAAGAGGAACTCGTCCGAATGGTAAGGACCTTTGACCATGGCCCAACCCTCTCAGTGGTTTCTTTCAGGATTCAAACTGGCACCGTGGATGAACGAATTCCATTTCACGCGACCTAAGAAACTCTGGTTTCTGATGATTCCCCTTTAAACAAATAACCAACAATGGTTTCCCATGGTTTCAAAGTCTTCCATTTGCTTAAGACTCCTGGAAAAATATATATTTCCAGTAGTGATAGATTACGTTAAAACCAAAAGGGAAAATATTATTGAGCAAATGGAAGTCATGGATGTGCTATCTTCAAAGTCCCAAGTGCCAGCTTGACTTGAAAACCTCTCTGCCAAAGCATCTTGCGCGTTGATCATTTAGAGGCAACCCTGATTGAGGTTCGGCAACAGCTACACTTCTACATAGATCTGCCACCCGCATCTTGGTACCTCAAAATAGACATTGAAATGAGGTCCCGAACCTTCCAATGGAGGTTCATTTCTCCCTCCAATGCAGTGTCCTGTCTGCTGCTTGGGGCAACAAAGTGTCAAGTTCCTTTGCTCTACAGCTCACTTCCGTGGATTGACCCCAAAAAGTCCAAACTTTCTGCTTGCCACCATGACTAAAGTCCATGACATCAGGGAGTGAGACAGGCAAGCAATACAGTGGATGGACAAACTCCACTTCGCACCAGGTCACATGGATGAAACCCTTGGGACACTGGGTGGCGCCGATCTGCGTGCATGTTGTCCACTGAAGGAAACTTAATGGTATAGGTATCCAAGGGAGCCATCCTTTAACGAAGTAAGTTTTTTGAAAGAATTGCCATTTTGGTTCCAGCCGCCACCAAAACGAAGATGACGACCATGAAAGTCCAGCACTTTGAGAGCTTGGCTTTGGACAAGCCCGCCAAAAAGCTGAAACCACCACCCCCCCCCCGCAGGGGTCATGATTTGACAGCTTTTGGGGCTTATCTAAGTCAGACAATGGTTGGTTTCCCTTTCACCCACCGCTTAGGGGGTGACTTTGACCAGGGTAAAAGATGCTGGCAACCTCCGCAAAAAAACGCCGTCCTCTTCCTGCGCCGATACGCTGGACATCGGAGAGGTGCACCGCAGGGAGGGTTTCCTGGCGAGAAGAATCGGCCGAAACCGCGTGGCAGTGTGCTTCCCAGGGAACTGGCATGCCTCTACAGGTTGATTCCAAGTCCAAGCTGAAAATTATGGGGGTTGATTTTGTTTGGCCCATTCTTTTCAAGCATCCTTCTTTTCAAACATTCCGACTGGTTTCACTGGGCTTCTTGAGGCTTTCTAGAAAGAAGGATCCCTGGAAAGAATGGGGAAGGTACCCCTAGAATCACTGGGGAACACGATAGTAAAAAGGAACAGCAACTAGGTCCTCCAGTAGAGAGGTTAGAATAAGGGTAGCGTTTCTTTTTCTGCAGTCTATTTTAGTAGGGTCCTGAACCCTCCCAACCAAAAACGGGTGAGAAAGGGCACTACTGGGGACCTAGACAAAAAACCAAAGGACCATCTCTGGTTGCTAGGACATCTCTGGAGAATAGCAACCAGACATGTTCCTTTGTTTTTGTGGTTCCTTTGGTTCTCTACTACCCAGGGAACTGGTGGGTGATCAAAGAACTCAGGGCTGTGACCCACCAAGCCCTGCGGGTCCTTGGGACCTGAAATATGAGGGCCTTCTTTGACCCCAAACGACCGCAGATGATAGGGTCTTGGGAAGGCAGGGAAGGTGAACCCCACATTCCCAGGGACTTGTAAGTGGGTTTTTTGTAACCTATAGCTTACGGTTGCACACTTGGCAAAACACACCCAAGAAAGACGCATGAAACTTTGGTGGTTGAAACCTACCGGAACCAATCGGTTCAACATGAGCTTCCAGTTTGATCGAGGGTTCAACTTAAAACTTTTGGGGAACAACATCGCGTCAAAGGGGCCAGACTTGGACGAAAGTTGGACCCTGATATGAACCTGATAGCCTACTTCATGTGGTCCAACTCATTTTCTGAGACACAAGGAAGATGGTAGAGAAATGAGGGGAAGTAGACACACCCCCTTCTCCAAATACCCGCTTTTTTAAGGGCGTGATGTCGACCTACTAATTTACCATGGAAACCCAGGTTTCTTTGGCAAAAATACCCTAAAAAAGGCAGGTACTTGGAGTCGGCATGTGGACTTCTGGAAACCGCCTTTGGGGCCTTCAGACCCGGGAGGCCCCGGCCGCTTGATCTACGGGACGGACGAAGAAAATCCCATTTCGCACCCAAACCCAACGGAATGATAGATCCCCTTGAAAAAAACACAAACAACAAATGGTTTCAACCAGGGTTTCAAAGCGGTGCAAACGAATTTCGAGGACCCATCCACGGTATCCAACAACACTGATCCGCGAAATCGAGGTCGCATCGATGGATTCCAACCCCAGAACTGGCTGATAAACCACCAATCCCAACTGCGAATTGGATATTTGTCCATCTACAGTTCGGGTAATATCAGTCAACGATTCTCCTCAGAGCATTGACGTCTATTTGGAACACCTTACTTACAAGTGATTGGTGGACACAAATCCAGGCCTACATCATGTCCACTAATGGGTGCCGAGCTAACATTCAACCCAATATTCCCTCCTTAAGCATCGACCCGACCTAAAGGAAACTCGCTCCCTTCAAATGGGTCCAACAGGTGATAGTACATCCCATCATAGGTAGCCCTGTCTCTCAAGAACGCTGACCAAAACCAGAGTCAACGGCTCGATGTCAGCTTGGGCCTTGGCAAACAATTGGACATGGGCAACTGCAAAAGCTCAGGTCGGCCTGCAAACCATGTTCTTGTTTGCAGGCTCCTTTGCTGACCTCCATCCGTACGTTTCGCCTACCCCGAAATCCAAAAATAGTGGCATGGACATGCATGGACCCAGCCCCTCAAGATTCCCTTACAAATGGGTTCACGCCCCAAAATGTAGGGATGTCCATTTTTTTCCGGTAGTTTGAGGGTCCAGGAAGACAGCTTTCTGGGGGCGCCTTCCATTTCCATTCTTTCCAGGAATCCTTCTTTCTAGAAAACCCCCGGAAGCCCGGGGAAAATGGATCCGGTTCTTGAAAAGAACGATGGTTGAAAAGAATGGAGTCACCCTTCAAATATAGGTCCATGACCCCCTTGTTTTAGGTAGGGACCCCATTTTCTACGGGTCATGGAGACTCCAGGTAGAAGCTTTGGTTCCTCTTCCTTCTGTTTTCGACAAACCAATCGGACAGCTCCAAGTTCGCCGAGCCGCCGTGTCCCCAGCTGTTGGCGGATGCCTGGCAAAGACGTCACTGGTCAGACTGAGCTGGGTGGATCGAGTTCCATGATGGATTTCGGGCTCCATTCTCAATCAGAGTCTCCACATGGTGCCTTATCCCATTTCATCCCATCCGTGTGGCAACCTTGCCCTCTTAACCTGGTAGCTGCGGTTGGACCATTGGAACCCCTCGCCTCAAGGGATCCCCTTTTGGTTGGTGGGAAACCTTTTGTCTAAACCTCGCTTGGAACCCCTGACCGCGCCCTTTGCTTCGACCCCCTCCGGTTGAAACTTCACTCGAAGCTCACTTCCTGAGCAGGTTGGCTACACAGAGTCACCAAGACTCACCCCCGTTGCTTTGGAACTCCGCTTGAAACGAAGATCGCGAATTTCAATTCGCGAGTTCGAATTCGCGCATGGATTGCCAAACTGTTGATTAGTGGCAACCCCCCCCCTCCAAAAAAAAAACACAAAAACACCAACGCTCAATAAGTCAGAAGAAACACAAAAAGTGAGGCTTGCGCTTTCCGCGCGCCCAGACCGCGCCAGCACGCCGCGCCTCGGTACTGCGCCAGCAGCGGGCTGAGGCAACGCAGCGGCTCGCAGCTCCGCGGCGCCCGCCGCCGCAGCTCGCCCAGCAGCCCAGGCACCGCCTGACGCGAAGGAGCCGAGGCGAACGCGGCGACGGCGGTAGCGTGGCGAGCGCTTGTCCTCGTTGGTTTTGGTTTTTTGGGGGCGTTTGGAGCCAAAACGGTTTGTGTTTTGTTTCTTCTGCTGGAGTTTTTTTTTTAACATCTATGTTTGCTGCAAGAAACGGAGGTGCAAGTCCAAATCCATGGCACCAAATCAGGGGTGCCTGATTTGATGCGGCTTTCGCTCAGAACAAGAAACAACGACAAACATGAAAGGCAGGGCAAGGGGATGGTAAAATGGGTGTGGCTCGTCTTTCGGAGTTATTCCCGCCGATTTCGGGTGGGTTGTCAACTTTGGGCTTTGCTTTACCTCCGAAAAAGGGTACCAACTCCCAAAAAGACACTCCCTAATGGGTCGAGAAAAAAAAAAAAAAAAAAACGTAGGCCAGCCTCAAACTGAACGAAACAAACTAGAAAAGAATTGCCCTGGTCGGCGAAACAATCCTTCAACACAAAGGGTGTGGAAACACCACAGGGGTAATGGGAAACTAACCCAAACCGCCAAACCACTAATTCAACCCAGCAACAAGTGAGAAGCTAAACAATTGGGGAGGTGGGGGTCCCGAAACTTGGGGGACAGGGGGATTTGGCCTCAAAAAAGCAACCATTGATTGTGGTGCGGTCTTTCAATGGGTCCCGGACTCAGTATTGACATCTGGAGACTCCTGCCCACGAGTCACTTTTGAAGTGGTTCCTTATTGAAACATCATTGCCACGTTTGAAGGGACATCACATCTAACCAAGGGAAACACCATTTTTCAAAACAGAGGACAAATGCTGGATACCTACTCTAGAAATCACTGGGATTGTTTAATGATATGAAGGTCCCAACAAACAAAACGCCGCATGAGCAGCGCCCGTTTTGATATCATCTGCAATCTGCCAGCATGGCCGGTAGGAGGTGTTGGATTCTCCAAAGAAAATGGGCCCACCTCCAACCGAGTTGTTGCTGAGGGTTCTTGAGGAAAACTACAAGTTTGGCCCAAACGCAGTTCCCCAACTGGGTGCATTTAAACTGGGTCTGAACAAAATGAAACGTTGCAAGCCGTTCTGGTTGCCTGGAGGGAACCTGAACAATTGTGCACTCCTTAGCACCCAGCCAATGTACAGATTAGGGTCAGGGGTGCGCGGCAATGAGCCCCATTGAGCCCCGGTACACAGCGTTTTTTGTCGATCCAAACCTGAGTATTCGAATCTTCCTTTTTTATGGGGGCTGCAAAGAAATCCGATCTATTTTGGGAAGGTCGATTTGGAAACAAATCAATCTATTAGATGCGCGGGGGTGTCAAAACAGAGGACGCACTATCTTTCAGAAAAGACAGGAAATCATCTTTAAAGGTCCCCATTATGAGAAACGCATGTTCCGCCTTCAGTGAAGTGAACGCTCGATCGCATCGATCAGGTCTCGATCTGTTCGATTCCGAGGTGGAGAGGGGGGCCATGTAACAACTTTCCCCACAGATTTGGGCTTGGAGGCGGCACAGATTCTGCAAGCGCCCGCCTCCGCATCCATGTCGAAATGGAAGACAGTTCCGTCGTCCGGGCACTCCTCTTCGAGGTGGTACCTCCCACAATGCGCGCCCGCAAGCGTCCAGCTCCGGGCTTAGTGCTCTTTTCTTACCCCTTAAAACTCCCTGCGCCCTGGGGAAGTTAATCTTTTACAGGCATATAGCCCATGATACCCAAAAAGTTGAGAAAGGTTTTGTGTTTTTAAGAGGTAAGTTTTGCTTGAAAAGCATCCACGTTGTTCTGGGGCGCGTTTTGGTGAAACACGCTCAGCGCGCTGCGGCCTCAAAGGAAGCCGGCCCTTGAGGGTATCTGGCAGGGCCTAGTACTCCATTACCCGAAAAGTGTTCCTGGACCCTCAAACTACCCATAAAAATTGGATATCACCCCATAATTTTGGGGGTCAAACCCATTTTCAGGGGAATTTTGAGGGTTCAGGTTCGCGCATCCAGTCTTGCCCGCATCCGGCGCGCTGTCAGCAAATAGACCCTGGGCGCTTCAGCCTCGCAGCTTTCTTCGACAAACGATAGGCGGCGTGTTACCCTTTGCGCCTTTGCGTTACGCCAGGTACAAGTAGATGGCGCAAGTCGCTGAGTTCGGGTAGGCGCAGGAGATTGCTGAGCCGCGGTGGAGGAAGCGCGCTGTCTACTTCCACCCAACCGTGCGCGAGATACACCTCCGTTTCTCAAGTCAAAAGCTATGTAGTCCGAAGCGTTGCGTTCAGAGCGGGCTTGGTGCATGCCAGCGTGTGACGAATTGTTCCGTGCTGGATCGTCCACGCTTGGATCCGTAAGGTTTGGTTCATTTGGGCCCTCGGCAACGTGGAAAGGCCATTGTATCAAAGAAATGTCAGGGACCGTCGAAAGGCTTTTTGGGGGGGGGGGGCTAGCCCTGCATAAGCCCAGGATCTGGACAAGGATAAGATCTAGTGGTGCTCTGGCTGAGGTTCCCTTAAAACTCACACCAAGAAAAGGCTGCCCGAAAAAGCGTCCCATGGAAATCCACCGGAGGTGACTGGCTTTTAAGGACAAGGAGTCGATTTACTGATCGTCAGGTCCTTCGCTGGAAGCAGCATTTGCCTTGTGACATGTCTCGAGGGTGTTGGGAGACAAGCTACCGTGTCACTCACTTGCCCAAAGGGCCCAAAAATACCAGGGTGACTTTCTGGAACGACGAAAAATAGGCCAAAACAGGAGAACCAAAAGGTGAAAAGGTTGGCTTGGGCAAGTGAGGTCCACATGGGCCAATTTTCGTATGGAGCCCGAATCCTTCGTTTTCAAACCCGCAAAAGGTGGCATCATGACTTTCGGCAGAAAGGAAAGTCTACAAGTTTTGGGTGCTCAGTATGGTACGGGTCCTTGATCAGTCGGCGGGGCTTCAACGCCACGGAAGTACTTCCAGTTTTCAGCAAAAGGCGACGTTGATTCAGGGTCCCTGTGTTGTTTTTTTTGCAGCCCTCTCCAAAAATCAACAGAACCGCAAAGCCTAAACACATGCTAACAACGGTGGAGATAAAACCGGTTCCAAAGGAAATTAAACCCCTAAGGCCCCGTTCGCTTCCTTATTTTAGGTTCGGGTGGGTCGACCCCTCTGAACGGGACGGCTTTTTTCACGGGACCCTCAAGCAGCTGCTTGAAGTCACTCGTAAGATCCGAAAAATGCACCCACACACACATTCCCTGGCAAATTACCTCTCCTATTCGGAACAGCTTCTGACACGAAACCACATCGCTGTTTCTTTCGGTTTTATTGGGAGCCTCCGTTTCAATGAACCGTTGGGTCAGTTTCATAAAATGGTCAAGTCCGAACAGCCAAACTGAAGCACCAGCAACTCTTCTGAGCGGCTCACTGTCCAGGAACCGACCTTTGAGCCGTTTTGGCGAAATCCAGTTCGCACCTTTCGGAAAGCCTGGTTTATCTTTGGATCCCCCGGTAAAAATACCAAGCAATAGGTTCCTCTGGTTTTAGCTTGGTGCGGGCTTTCGTCCATCCATAGCGCACCAATGAACCCATCTCCATGCTTGGGCAAATGAGAAGCAACTCACTTCCGATCGAGTGGATTGGCCAAAGCACAGCGAGCGACTTTCCCCCCTCCAAATACCCTCTTTTTGAAGGGTATGATCTACTACAAAAGGAGGTATTTACCATGGAAACGCAGGTTTTTCCAAAAACAGCCTATAAAAGGTAGGTATTTGGAGTAGGGTGTAGATTTACAACTAAAATTGCAACCAAACCTAAGAAGGTGAGGCAACGATGTCAACTTCCCGAAACGCAAACCCAAAGGGCCGGGAAGATGTGGGAATCCTCGTTCACCCTCTCTTCAATTCCAGGTTCCCCAGCACAAAATATAAAAAAAAAAAATCAAAAAAATCAGAGAGAGATAGTCACTGGGTCTGGGCATTCTGTTCCAGGACCTTGATTTTTTTGATTTTTTGTTTTTTTTTTGATTTCTTCGAGGTTTATTCACTTTCCGAGATTCTGACCTGGGCATTCTCTCCCAGGACCCTGATTGTTTTGTTTTTTTTGGATTTCTTCGGGTTTTTTCAACATGTTCATCCTGCGCAGCCAAAAGGCAGATGCAAGATGAAGTTGGGAAGCCAGAAGCCCGAGACCTTGCGGATTCTGGGATGTGTCACCAGAGATAAAACACAGAAAATTGTCGATCTTTGGGGGGGGGCGGTACCATATATATATATATATGTATATTATATATATATATATGTCACATACATGGAGTATGTGGGCGTTTCTCCATATTTTTAGTTGATCGAACATTCCGAACATGGCACGAAACTCATTTTAGCCACCTAGCCACCCCACCAATGTCGGCGCCGAGCGTGTTTTGACTCTTCGAGACTTAAAATTTGCTTTTTCGCCCACTGGAAACCCAATATTTCCAGTAGTGAAATCGATTCCCTTTACACCCAACAAGGGGAAATCACCCACCTGAATCGCCAAGCTTCTGATTTGTTCCAGACACTTTACCGCAGAAACAGTGACAGTTGCTGGGGAAAACCAAATATTCATTTCAGGTGGAAGTCGAGAGCGGCCTGGACAGCGTCTGGTTCAGGGGCCGGTCCCGCGGCTTCGCGACCACCAGGAAGTCCAGCAGCTGCCGGCCGCCTCACGTGGAGGTTTCACGTCACAGTGAAGGAAGGTGGACCCCGAGAAAAGAAGAAGAAGAGCAAGCGAACAAATTTTCTAGGAGAGACTTCCGCATTCTTTCCAGGGAGCCTTCTTTCCAGGGACGCAAGAGAAGGCTGACCTTTCTTTCCTTTTCCTAGGTCCTCCAGATTTGAGATGTTAGAATAAGTTGGTACCAACTTTCATTTTTCTGCCTTGTCTATTTTATTTGGGGAACCCTCCCCCGAAAAAGGGGGAGAGAAGGGCACTACTGGGGGACCTGGTTTCTCTTGCTTCGAGGAATCCTCCGCTCATGCAAAAGGGAGCTAGCTCAACCTACCAACGCGCAGCGTAAAGAATGTTGACCCCGCAACGCCCCGCAAAAAAAAAAGAAGGCAGCCTCCTGTCCACGAACATGGAACTTGACTGACGGGTCCTGGAAGCCGATGTTCCTTGAAACGGGACCCTCTGGCGGGTTCCATTTCCCCTGGTGGGTTCACGCAAAAAAAAGAGAAGATCAAACCAACATGGCACCGGGGGTCGTTTCCCCCAAGTTTGGCCCCGATGAACAGACACATGGGCCAACCCTTTTCTGCAACTTAACATATGGGCCATGGAATTTCTTCCCGGCCTCAGATGCCCCGCTAAAACCTTTTTTCCTTTTAGTGGGTTAGATGGAAACTACCACTACACCACCAAAAAGCTACCAGGCTAAGGAACCGGAGGGCTGGGAGCCAGCCACCCAACAACATATGGGCCATGGGGCCCGGTCTTCCCGTAAAGTGGTCTGAAATTGAGCCAGGGAAACCCGCAAATGAACAGGGGCCCAGGAGTTTATTCATCCGAAATCAACCTTCACCTGTTTTGCCTGGGCTTTGCCAGGGCTTGGTTATAGCTGACCTACCTGACGTATGAACATCCAAGGATTCCAGCGCAGCTTGGAGGTCTCATTCAAAGGCTGCTCACTGACCAGGCCGACAAACACAAGCGGTTGAGGGTGTGTTGGGTCAGACGTTTGCTGCAAGATCCACTTTGGTGTCTGGGCTTCAGTTGCCCTGGGACCCCAGAATAAACGCTTCACCTTTTTGCGACCTTTGCAAATTCATGGGAACCCAAAAATGGAAAAACAAAAGCTGTCAAAAGGTCGACAACTTGGGGTGAGAAATGCCTACCCGCACTCACACACACAAAAATAATAATAAAACAAAAACAGGTCCAAAGCTTCTCGCCCAATCCATTGACCCAGCCGAAAAACACGTCGACTCACTTCCCCCAAAAATATATACCCTGTTATAAGTTTCGACAAACCCGTGCGCTGACCCCCCTTTCCCATTTGAAGGGGTCTTTTGACCTTGGGACATCTTGCGTATGACCAAAACCGCCTTGAATGATTCTCAGCGCTCAATAAGTTTGGTCGCTTTTTCCTGGCCACTCCACTTAGCAGGCCAGCTGAGTGTGACAAGCTAGGTCCTCCAGTAGAGAGGTTAGAATAAGGGTACCTTTTTTTTCTGTAGTCCATTTTAGTACGGGAACCCTCCCCCAAAACTTGCTTCCTGAGTTGGTTGGCAAAAAAAGTCCAATCTTTTTGTCTACCACCAAAACGGTCAACGCAACTTGGATGTCCACTGGGTTTGGTGACAAGGAAAAACCAGGACACCCAATAAAGCAAAGAAGCAAAGCCTAAAAGCAAACAGCCAACAGGAACATCTGTTTCCGGGTTAAAAGCCTGCATTCGCGCGAACGTGAGAACATATTTTGAGCAGTGATACACTCCTTTTAAACCAGCAGGGGGAATTTAAAGACTTTCTTGAGCAAACGGGAGATAGCAAACCCCACCCAGTGGATCCCAGGCGTTTCGCCACTATAGTAGCTCTCCCTTCGATCCATTTTCAAACCTTGGTTTTTCAATTCAGTTGCAAGACCTTGGTGACCTACAATGGTCTCACTGGGCCCACATTCAATCGGTGAGCCCCCCCCTCCCCCCACTTTCGCTTTCCGAGTTCTGAGCTTCCGGCTAAGGCCATAGAAGCCTCAAGCGATGAAAATCCCATCCCAAGAAAAGGCACACAGGGCCTTAAACCTCGGGAGCCCCCGTGTTTTGTAATTTTTCTCCTTGGTTCCTGGCTTTTCCCCGCAAAAACTTCAACCTTTTTGGGTTCTCCTTTTGTTTCTCCTTTCGAAACGAGACCAAAGCGGGTAGCCTCAAAGAAGACACACCCTGATTTGCCAAGTGGTGTGTTGATCCGTCAGTGATGCACCTTGCCAGGAGCGAGTCGATGCCAACTCCGGCAGACTTGGACCTAGCTCCTCCAGAGGTTAGAATAAGGGTACCTGGGAAAAATGAGAAAATATTCCCAGTAGCCAAATTCATTTCCATTAAAAAACCAACAGGAAAAACATTCGCTTCAGCAATGGGGGTCTTGGAGGTGTGTGGTTTTCCGCTAGAAGTGGTTGTGAAAAAAATACCCACGGTTTCACATGGCTGTGGGTCAAAAATGGGGCAACCCTACTAAAACCTGCCGTTTCCAGGTGGATTAATTTTGACCCATACCCACATCTGAGCATAGGGAACCTGCTGGGGTGCTAAAGACAAGCGAGTAACAGTGGTTGTGGCAAATGCCCTAAAGAGCATGGAGCTAATTCTCACTTCTTGAGTAGCTTGGCCAGCAATAGTCTATAATTTGGTGTTTACCACTAAAATTGACATCCCACAAAGAAACTAAAGTCCAGGAACTCAGGGAGTGAGAATAAATATGTTGATCCTTAAGGGAAAATGTGGGGACCCGTCCACATCTCCATTGGTCCAAGTTTACGGATCTGATCTAAACTGATGCAAACAAATACTTGCTAAAGTACCCTACGGTTCTTAAACGTTCTAAGCATAAATTGAATCCCCCATCGGAGGGCTCAGAACCTCCCCCTCTCTCTCTCTCTCTCTCTCTCTCTCTCTCTCTCTCTCTCTCTCTCTCTCTCTCTCTCTGTCTCTGACCCAGCGCCAGCCAGCCAGCAACTTGGCTCGACCGGCTCCTTTTTTAAAAAATCATACGCCTCCCTCACCAGCGCTCCTTGGAGTTGCATAGCATTTGGGCGTTTGGGCTTTACCATGTCTCTCTAGATCTCTCACTCTCTCTGTGTCTCTATCAAATTCTCCCAGCCAGCCTGTAAAAGCCATCCAGCCACGACCAGACCGGCTATTTTTTTTTACAAATCATACGCTTCCAGCTCTTTTTGGAGTGTCTGGGCCCGCTATCGCGCGCGCCAAAAGCGTGTGCTCTTGCCAAACACGGACGGCGTGCGCCGGCACGCGTTGCAGCAATCTTACTTTGATGCATTTGCTTGGGTCACACGCGTCTGTCTCCAGTTCGCCTCGCATGGGCGGCGGCAGCCTTCACTTTCAACAGCGCAAGGAAGAACCTGCCACCAGCGCCAGAACAATTAAGTCTACACTGTCTACCAAGAACGTCGCGCGGTCCTGCTCAAAACCATATGGTCTTCGTTGAGCAGACTGGGCCTACTTTCACTTCGCCTGGAGAACTAATTAATGGAAGGCATTGGCTCGTGCGCCAATCAAATGTGTGGCTAATGGAGAATGCAAGTTGAGCGGACGCGGCGTCACTGAGATGCGCGCCAGTTCGCGTGGCTACTGGTCTCGCCGCTCAGGCTTGCTTGCCCGTTTGTCTTGGTTGGGTGGCTCTGGCTGACAGTTTGCCCCGCTAAGGTTGTGGTAGATCCTTGCCTTTGTTGCGAGCGTTGTGGCAGGCTCAGCGAATGGTCTTCGCTGAGCCTGCCACGACACCGATCCACACACACGAGCGCGCAAAAGCACCAACTCACTTGAAATACTGCTACGTAGAGAGCTGGTTGGTCAGAACCACAGTAGGCAACCCGTGCCGAATGCTGTGGCTGAAGGCGCCACCCCTCGTGCATAGATCAAAGGACGCGGTTCCGTTCAACAAGGCCTTGCGCCGATTGTCGGTGTCGAGGTTCGACATCGGCCCGAACCAATCTACGTTGTCCAGAAGCACAAAACGAGGCGTCGGCTCTGAAGCGCGCAGCCTGTTCCACGTGGTCCAATTTGTCTGCATCCGGAAGCATGCATGCGCTCCTAAGAGCGCCGTCTGCTTGGCAGGTATGTGGATGAGGTCATACGTGGCCCTTACCGGGAAAAGCAGGGCGGCAAAGGCAAAACGCAATACTTCTTGGCGGGGCTACGGGAGAGCGGTCACTTCTGCAGCTCTGGGCGCACGCGGTCGAAGCTATCTAAGTTGAAGCTTGGCTTGCTGGGGTTCTCAGCAGAAGCAGTACACCTGTCAAACACGCTCGAAGCCGCGCGCACGCTCGGGGACAGCCAAGCAGCGCCTGGAGCAAACAATTAGCTCCACTTGTTCTCGGGCAGCTTTGGTCATCCTGGGGTACGTCACGCCACCCTGCTTGCGCTTAGCGTACAACTTCCTCGCTGTGACGACGGGTCTCTCTGCGATGCCTGTCTGTTAGGGTGAGCTCACCGTCGCGCAGCAGCTCTTCCGCATCCCTGGCAGCTAGCTCGATTGCGTCCGCTAGAATGCGCGCGCCGCCGCCAGACCGCAGGTTCTCTACTTCTTTCTCAACATTCTTGATCTGAAGCACGCGATGGCATTGGTCTTGCCATTTCAAGAACATCTCCAAATAGTCAGTCAGCGACATCTTCTTGAAGCGACCAAACCTCGCTTGCTCAAGTACGTTCGACAACAGCTGTAAACCGTTTCGAGACAACTGCTTGCAAGGGCCCGGGAAAAAAAGATAGAAAAAGGGCTGCGGGCGGCCGAGGCAGGGACGGGCAGGGACAATCGCATACATCAAGCGCAGCATGTGGATTCATACGCCGGCCTTTGGATGGAACTTGGGTTGAGCCATCTCTGGGGCAGTTGTCCTTGCATATGCCTGCGCGACCGAGGCAGGGACGGGCAGGGACCATCGCATACATCAAGCGCAGTATGTCGATTAATACGCCGGCCTTTGGATGGAACTTGGGTTGAGCCATCTCTGGGGCAGTTGTCCTTGCATATGCCTGCGCGACCGAGGCAGGGACGGGCAGGGACCATCGCATACATCAAGCGCAGTATGTCGATTAATACGCCGGCCTTTGGATGGAACTTGGGTTGAGCCATCCCTGGGGCAGTTGTCCTTGCATATGCCTGCGCGACCGAGGCAGGGACGGGCAGGGACCATCGCATACATCAAGCGCAGTATGTCGATTAATACGCCGGCCTTTGGATGGAACTTGGGTTGAGCCATCTCTGGGGCAGTTGTCCTTGCATATGCCTGCGCGGCCGAGGCAGGGACGGGCAGGGACCATCGCATACATCAAGCGCAGTATGTCGATTAATACGCCGGCCTTTGGATGGAACTTGGGTTGAGCCATCTCTGGGGCCGTTGTCATTGCCTTTGCCTGCGCGACCGAGGCAGGGACGGGCAGGGACCATCACATACATCAAGCACAATATGTCGATTAATACGCCGGCCTTTGGATAAAACTTGGGCTGAGCCATCCCTGGGGCAGTTGTCCTTGCATATGCCTGCGCGACCGAGGCAGGGACGGGCAGGGACCATCGCATACATCAAGCGCAGTATGTCGATTAATACGCCGGCCTTTGGATGGAACTTGGGTTGAGCCATCTCTGGGGCCGTTGTCATTGCCCTTGCCTGCGCGGTCAAAATGGATTGGAGCTCGCTGCAACCTCCCTCGTCTGGAGAATGATGGCGGTGTGAAAAGAATGTTGACGCTGCGGGAAGCACTACAGTACAGTGTTGCAAGAAGTAGGCCCTCCCGAAGGGATGGACACCTTATTCCCACAAGCGCATTCCTTGTGTGCTTGTGTTTGTTCTAACGCAACTTGAAAACACACGCCGTGCGAAACACCCATAAACACCCTTGCGTGAATAACTTTTATATGTATGCGCCCGGCTCAAGTGGTGGGCGTGGCGGGACCTCAATCATTTTGAGGAGCCATGGAAATTTTCGGCTATGGGGGATGGGCGCAACGCGGATGATGGCGCGGCGCTCGTAGTCCCTTATTTTTTGCTTGACAAGGATGATCTATGGGCTGATCTCTCGCAGCAGTGATCACACTACGGGAACAGTTCTTTGTGACATCAACACTGACTCGAGCACGCATTGTGACCTACATGGTGCAACTGTTGCGTTGGAAAGTGCCATGTGGCTGTGGCCAGAGCGGTGTATTTGCAAGGTACAACCCGCAACTACCTTTTTCACATTGCAAGGAGGTGTATGGAACTTGTTTCCGCCACCCCTCCATTTTGTCCTCCCGGCGGTGAATTGACTAAGACACTGCTACACATGTGGACCAGGTCCAAATTCAATTTTTAACCTGAGCTGGCCAACTGAATGCGTGGCCACGGAACTCCTCTCAGTTCTTCACGCAACCTGGTTTCTTCCGGTAGTTGCTTCAGCTATTTGAAAGGCATGCCGTTTACTGGATCTCCTCATCAGCTTCGCAGTGGCGCAGCAGCAGCGCGACTAATTACGAGGCATTGATGCGCAGACATGCGCGTGTCGAGCTGATCAGGGCAAAGTCTTACGACATCGGAGATGAGAGCAACAGACCATGAGCCTCGGTTTGACATACAAGAGCAAATCAGTCAATGGTATCGAGCTCCTTCAGATCACAATTGCACAGAGGCTGCGACTTTGACAGGGGCTTTGACAAACTGTCAGTCGATTCACGCATTGCTTCAATAAGGCCTGTGCACCGTTCGCCACCGGCGGATGCCACGCGGCGTTCTTGCTCAAACTGGTGTGCTTGATGGGTGTACTGCTGACCAACTGGTGAGTGTTTATTAGCAGCGCAGGGGGTCGCTTACGCAGCTCGTTCTGATTGTGCTGGGTAAGTTGCTTCACCTTTGCCTGACGCCTAAAGTGCCAGGGAGCAACTATTTTTCACTTGGTGAAAACTTGCTGGCATCTGGCATGTCAACAGTGCATGAGCGGCTTACAGGGATGAGGTGTTCCTCGAGAGTTACTGCTTGACTGGCCACGGGTTGTTCTGCGAGTGGCCCGCGTAGCCCGCGTGCTTCTCGCCGTTGGGGTGCTTCACTACGGTGCACCTTGACGCAGAGCCGCCGAGCAGCGCTGGGTCTGTCATGTGGGAGTGCGCGCGTAAATTCATCTCCAGTTGCTCAGTCCAGTCACAAGCATCTTGAGCAGACCACCAGCTTCTGATCACCGCCACCACTTCGGAGTGAAAGCCTCTTCCACTCTTGTCCAGCTCAGGCCCGATCATATAGCGCTCGGCAGCGACGTGCTTGCCCAGATCGCTCTGCTGAAGCTCTTGCTTCATAAATGGCTGGAGAGGGGTCTCCGTGGAAGTCTGGACATGTCCCTGTGACCGCAACCAGCCTTCGGGGGTGGAAAAAGAGTTGGAGCCAAGCTGAGTGTATTATGCTTCATGGTGCATTCATGCTTGTGATCACATTTATTCTTGAGTTGAGATTTTCAGGGATTCTCCTCTGAGGCTCAAGTTTGTGTGGTCACATAGGTAGTTCCCTTTAATGAGATCATCTCATAGGTTTGGCTGTGGATATCAGAATTTATATGAAGATCACTATACATTGGCCATTTTTCCGTGTGTAGCCATGGAAAATGACGGGAGAGTTGAGGAGCCTGAGAATGTCAATGAGGTGCCTCCTCCGGTTGAGACTCCTGATGAGAATATCCGCCACCGCCAAAGGGAAAGGCATGCGCACCTACCAGTTGTGAAGACTGGGGCTACTAAGCGTACAGAATCATTCAAGTGCACCTATTCAGAAGATGTCCATGGAGACCAAGGCGTGGGCCATTGATACTGATACTCAGAGAAATCAACCGGTTGGTGTAGATGAGCTGTTGACTTCGTCTTTAGCGGGATGCTTTATGCAAAATCCTGGATTTGTCAACACACCTGCTCCCAATCGTAATATTCAGTGTATTTGACACATGAGATGAAAGGACCGAATTCGGAAAGCTGTGTGCAGGAAGGGTACTATTCAGGACCTCGTTTTGGAGTTGGGTACATCAGCCGCACCAATCTTAGGCATACACCGGGTGAATTTGGGGACCAGGTATGATACTGTGGCTGCAGCTCCTGTTTTTTGAGAATTCTATGATACGTGCCTTAAGAGGAACCAGCAACGGTGCTGATCCCTCCAGCGGCTGGGGGTGCCCAAACATTTGGTCTGTGCTACAAACCCAAACCCTAAAACCTAACCCCTAATCCACAAACCCTAAAACCTAACCCCCAATCCACAAACCCTGAAACCTAACCCCTAAACTGCAACCCCAAAACCCAACCCCTAAACCACAAACCCTACAACCTAAGCCCTGAACCCAGACTCCAACCCATGTCCAGTAGAACGATTCAAGCCAAGACCAGCAGAACGATTCAAACCAAGTTCAGCGGAACGATTCAATCCTCACCATCGCCGCGCATTGTTGTTGCGCAGCGGTTGCCCGCAATCACGCCCAAACCAAGTCCCGCGGATCGATTCAAACCGGACAGCCGGCTTTAGGGTTTAGGGTTTTAAAATTAAGTTTAACTTTTAAGACGCTTAAAATCACCCAACCACTAACCAACCAACCCGCCGGGTCAGAGCAGATCACGTCCAACAACCCACCAACCACTCAACCAACCAACCACTCAACCAACCAACCAACCAACCAACCAACCAACCAACCAACCAACCAACCAACCAACCAACCAACCAACCAACCAACCAACCAAGCCAGAGCAAACGAAAAAACACATCAAGCCGGGGTGTCCGCCCAACATCGCCAAGAAGTCGTTGAACCACGCCCCAAGCCGGCCGAGCCAGCGCAAACCCAACAAACCAACCAAACATAGGGCAGGGCAGCAGTTTTTAAAGCCTGGTCAACCACAAATCTGCCAACCCGTTCAGAACCCAGCAAAAAAAACCAGGGGCGACCACCCCGAACACTCAGCGAACACCCTCCCGCACAGACCTGTAGACTCATCAACGAAGTCCAATGAAGAGCGCGCGTGACGCGTAGGAATCTTGTAACCAGAAGCAAAACGCATTACTACTGCTCAGCTTGGACAATTAAATCGGAAAAACGGGCTTAAACGGAAACAAACACCCGCAAAAACTAAAAATCATCAACAAACCACCGGCGTTCGTATCGGAATCTCCTTGGGAAAAATGGATTAAGCCATGTTGGACGAAGCCTCGCCAAAGTCCCAAGCTCTCTCTCGCTTGGCCATCCGAGGCCTTTGCTGGCGAGCATGGGCCCGATCTCCGCGAGGCCATCCGGTTCCGGATCCGCATCGCAGAGAAGCAGGGCGTGGGCCTCCTTCGTGGCTCAACTCAAGACGGGGATGGCAGATTGCTCGGATCCCCAGCTCAAAGTCGACAACTTCTGGGGCTACATGGGACAAATGGTCAACCAGACCAAGTAAAAACACGGAAGAACTTAAGGGATGGAGTCGAACGTGTGGGTTAAATCTGGAAACTACCACTAAACCAACTAAAAGGATCTAAACACGTAAGGAACTGGATGGCTGGGAACCACCCAGAAAACTCAGCTTCCTATTCCCAGTGGATCCCAGGCGTTCCGCCACAGTAGGTAACCCGCACTTCCAACTCTTGTTCTTTTCTGGCGGTTCCTTGGTGACCTGCACAGGGAAATGGAGTCACTGGGATTGGGTGCCTTTAATTGGGACCCTCAAACTAGGCGGTTTTCCATTTGGTTTCCCTGTACCAACCGAAAGAGGGGAAATCCCCCAAAAAACGGCGAGTGACGAAGTGAACCCCCAAAAACCACGCGAGGGTACCATACTACCCAAGTGGCTCATATGCCCAGATGAATCATTACAACTGTTATTAATCTAGGGATACCTTCCCCATTCTCTCGACTTGGAAGCAACCCCTAGAATCCCAGGCCAATAGCAACCAAAAATTATCCTTTTCCCTTCTTGGTGGTTCCTTCGGTTATCTACGAGTGGTTATCTAAAAGTGGACATAATAAGGAAAACCAAAAGGTCAAAAGGTCGGCTCTGGGCAACTGAGACTTGCCAGGTGGATGCCATGACCCCTTTTCAAACCCGAGGAACCGGTAAAATCCCCATGGCTCGGAAAGAAAAGCCGCAGGAAGAATATCCATTGAGCAAAACGGCAAAAGATGCAAGTCGTTGCAATCCTTCTGCAAATGCTCCAAAAACCAGCTAGTGTTTTGGAGTAAAGCTATTCATGCAACACCCGAGTTCCATCGACCTTCAACCTGCGCGGCGCTCGCCTGAAGCCCCCGCAGGAAGGTGGCCAGCTCTGTGACCTGCGGAGTCGGGTGGGTTCGTGGCCTTGGGGCGTGGATTTTTTGAGGCTTAGGCGGCTGTGCTTTGAAACCCCCAAAAAAAGGAGGTGACTTAGGGGACCCCCAAAAATAGGTGTTTTCCTTTCTGAAAACCCTCAAAAAAGAGGTAACCTCAGCAGAAGACACCACCCCAGTCTGAAATTCGGTCCTTTAAAACCGGAAAAACGACGCAACCTCAGAAAAATAAAAATAACAATAAAATTAATAATAATAATAATAATAATAATAATAATAATAATAAAACAAAACAAAAACAACAACCACAAAAACAAACACCCCAGAGTCTGAAATGCTTGCTGCGTCGAAACAGGGATTTGGAGCCCCGAAGTGGTGGGGTTTCCTGATATTTTTCCCTTTGAACTAGAAGCTGAACAGGCCTTCTCTTGGTTTCCCAGACTCGCTTCCTCGCGCCTCGGCGGCGCCCAGCAGATCCGCGGGCTCCACCAAGACCAGGCCCCGCAGCCTCGGCACTCCGCCGTTTGGGCCGCGGTTTTTGCCCGGCCGGGCCGGTGGGTTCTGGACGTTGGCTGGGGGCTGCAACGACCGGCACCCCCCCTGCGAAAAAAAGTTGGTCAAACCGCATTTTTAGAGGTGGGGTTCAGGGGAAAACAGCTTTAATTGGTTTGGGACTCTTTTTTTTGGCGGCTGGGACGACCTTACGACCCCTGCAAGAAACGTGGTGTTTCCCTCTTTTTTTCTTTTCGAAGCACTGGTTGGGGGGGTTCGTACGGAAAACGCCACTTGCTTTCAAGCAAGAAGTTGAAGTCTAAAGATCCAAGCCAGCAGTCAAGTGTGGAGGAGGTGTCCGCCGGCAAAGGACACCTTGACTATGGACCCAGGTGACAGATTTTGGATCCTAACTAAGTCCTCCAGATGTGAGAGGTTGGAATAAGGGTACCCGTGTTTTTCTTTCCGTGTTTTGTTTTTTCTCCGTTTTTTTTTCAGGATGTCTATTTTAGTAGGGTCCCAAACCCTCCCAAACAAAAAAGGGGAGAGAAGGGCACCACTGTGCGACCTAGTCCATGTGCTTCTTAAAACCCCTGCACAAAATCACGATATGCTTCCAGTAGTGGTAGATTCCCTTTCCTGATAGGGGCAAATAACGTGGTAGTTAGCCGTAGAGTCATCATTTTGGGGCAATACTCCCCATTGTTCAGGGTAGTCTGAGGGTCCAGGTATGTGGTGAAAACAAAGCATAAAGGGGTGTCCTTTTGGTTTCCTCAAACAAGGGCACCGCTCGCCGCTCTATCCACTCATGGAAGTGGCCGCTTGTTCTCAAGAGAATCATAGTCTTCCAAACTGTTCAAACCTAGGTCCTCCAGATTTGAGAGGTTAGAATAAGGGTATCCCGTTTTCTGTAGTCTATTTTAGTAGGGTCCCGAACCCTAACACAGAAGGGGTCGTCATGGGGGCTGAGTTTTTTCAGATTCCTGGGGGCTGTTTTTCCCGCCCTCAAAAGGAAACGGTCAAAGGGGCACCTAGCTGGGACGCCTAGAAACCCTAGCAGCGTCCATTTGCCCAAATCGAGATCTTTCCGCTTTTTGAGGTCCGAACACCTTCCCATGGTCCCAAACATCCTTAGATGGACTCTCCATATTTAGTCCACCCCAAAGTAAACTCTCCTTTTGGAGGAGACCCCACCCAAAAAAAACAAAGCGTCCTCGCGAAAACCGGACGCCGATCCAATTGCATTTGGTGCCCCGAAGGGCAGAAAACGAGTTGGACTCCTTTTCGGGGCAGGTGGTCGATTCGGCGGGGACGCCGCCAAACAAAAATCAAATTTGGGTGCACTGGCCGAGTGCTTCTGCTACCACCACAAGGCAACCAAGAACCAAACAAAAAAAAAAGAAACGAACACCTGAAGCCACACATGTTGGTACCGAAAGCTTCTTAACTGTTGCCCATGGGGTTCCTTCCAGGGGCATTTCCTGGGTTGTGTCCCTCTCGGACCGACTTGCTCGGGATCCTGAGTCTGCCCGTGAAATCCTGCCAAGCCGCATGTGGGCTGTGACCCCATCCGCGGACATCCGCGTCTCCGCTCCCAAGCACTCCCGGACAGTCTTCCGCGCCTTGCGGTGGTCGGTGCTTGAGAAACAGGGGTCGTATAGAGGGTTTCTCGCTCTGGGATTCTGGAGCGCCTTTCGGGCTCCAACAAATGGTTCCTTAGGCTTCCTTAGGCAGCCTTCGGACCCCCCTTGGACCACTCCTCTTAGAGACTCCCATAGCTAGCGCAAACCAGGGTACACGCCATTCACCCCAACCCCATGAACCACCAGAACCCATACATAAATCCTCCATAACCTTCCCATAGCCCCCATAATCCCAGAGCAAGCACACACACACACACCACAGACATCATACAACTCTCTACACCATCTTCCAGCCGCCTCTGCATCTCCCAGCAGCACCACCACCGGGTCTGGTGGCTTTCGCTCCAGCCTTGCTGCCTGCAACGCTCTCAGCGTCCCTGCGGCCCCCGCGCGCATGGCGGAAGAAAGGCGCGAGAACCCGCATGCGACGAGTCGCGGACCTGTGCTTTTCTAGGGTACCCCCTGTTGCGTTGCCCAAAAAGCCCAGGATAAAAACAGTCTTTTTTTAAACCTACTGCAAATACCAGCTTTTTTCAGGGCATTGTTGGGAAAACCCGGGTTTCCCATGGTAAATACCTCCTTTGTTAGAGGGTCGACATCATAACCTGTAAAACAGATGGTATTTGGAGTAGGGGGTATGTACCCCCTGTTGGTTTGCCTTCAAGGGCCCAGGAATCAAAGGCTAATAAACTTGCATTTGGTCAAGACCCTGGAAAAAAAGTAATAATAATAATAAACATATTCCCCAACAGGGGAAAATCAAAAAACAACTATTCGTTTCAGCAAATGGAAGTAACGGTTCACCTTTTGGGCCGCAAAAATTGAGACCAAGAAGGGGAAGCCCAAGAGGCCAAAACCGGCGACCAATCCTGGCACACGGATCCCAGGCGTTTCGCCACTAGTAGGTGACCAACAATCTGCCTTTGTCTTGTTAAAGCCTGGTTACTTTGGTTGCCTGCGCAGGTAAATGGAATCAATGGGCGGTGCAAAGTGGGTTTTCTCTATCCGAAGTATGACAGGGGCGGCTGAAAGCTATCATGTTTCCTAGTGGGACGCTAGTCGCCATGCCACATGTCTGGTTGGACTGACTTGCTTGCAGTCGCGCCCCCTGCCCATGTTTATGGCTGCAGCAGAGACAAGCAGTAGAGAGCTTATCTGTCGTCTATTTTAGTAGGGTCCCGAACCCTCCCAACCAAAAACAAGGTGAGAAAGGGCACCTAGCTGGGGGACCACCTGCAACAAGCAGCTGAGCTGTTGCGCCCAAAAGTGGTGGCGTGCATTGGGCTTGGAGTCGCGGGGCTGCCAAAACCTGGTTGTCAACAGGAGGTTCCCACAAAAGGAGTTGCCTTCCCCCCCTCTTGGTCGGCCCCCGGGGAAAAAGGCCACATCCAAAAATCAGAGGAACTCAGGTGACCACCAACAACTCTTGAGGTTTCGAAAAGTTTATGGCCATATGTTTAATCTCCATGGCTCCTCCATTCGCCGCTCGGTTACAACTAACTCAACAAGGTCCCCCTTATAATTATAAGTGGGGTGAAGTCTGGTTGGGGGGTTGGACCTGGAGTGGCTGACTGACGAACTGGGCGAATCCAAGATCGAAGAGGCAAGAAAAAACATGGCCAGCCGATTTGGGCTGGGCATGGATTCTGTCCCCCAACTTCTGGCGTCAAAAAGATGGATGTGTCTAAAAACGTCTCAAATGGGCCGGTCCCCTTGGACAAGGGAAACTTTCTAGGTCCTGCAGTAGAGAGGTTAGAATAAGGGTGCCCTTTTTTCTGTTGTCTATTTTAGTAGCGGAACCCTCCCCCAAAAAAGGGTAAAAGGGCACTACTGGGGGACCTAGCCTTCCAGGAAACCAACCAAGCTGCAGGAATTTGTGACCAAGTAGAAACACCCAAACGGGCACTCGACAAGCTAGTCTTTGAGATCCTATGCCAGACAGCTCCTGTTCCAGAGTGTAGCCGTTTTCAGTTGGGTGGTTATCAGCCGTCGGGAAGTCTTGGCTGGAATTAGGACCCCAGCAAAAAATATATTTGTTGCCCGGTTAGTGGAAAAGAAAGGGGACCCCAAAAAATCAAAAAAAAGAAAAAGGGGAGCTAATTCTGGGGAAGAAGTGAGGCTTCTGGTGCCCACGATCCAATCCTTCTAGCTCTCGGTGCTCGGTGCTCACTGACAAAGTGACTCCGACGCTGTTGGCGATTTTGGATTCAACAAAACCCACCACACTTGTCTTGGTTGACGTTGGAAGGGGAGCAAACATTTAAACATGTTAGCAGCTGAGAGGGGAAAATAACCACCAAAACCACAAAAAATGAACAACATGTACCAAATGTTTCCCAACAACAACCATGGGTCAAAATCCCGCACCCCCAGTGAACATCCCAATCCCCACTAAACCACAATAAGCAAAAATGAAAAAAAAAACAAATGTTTCCCAACAACCATGTTGTGCCCTTTATTATCTGAAGATGCCGCTTTTTGAGGGCTTAGAAGTCCAATCCGATTCGCCTCCTCCAGGTCCTTTCTGAGGCTAGGGCCTCCAAAAATCCAGAGCTGGGTGAGTCTTTGTTTTTGTTCAGGATGGTTGGTTCTAAGCTCAGTTGCCCAAAAGATCCAGAAATAAAAGGTTAACCTTTTGGGGCCATGACTAAAAATGGACCAAAACCAAAAGGCTAAAAGGTCGGCTTTGGGCAACTGAGTAAAGGAATGCCAAAAGGAGAACCGCAATTTTAAGAACCCCCCCCCCACCGACGAAAAAGGTTGGTTTTGAAGGAAACCCAAAAGAGAACCGCAATCTTAAGGCCCCCCCCCCTCCCCCCTCAAAAAAAGAGAGGAAAAAATACCCCGCTCCAGCTCATACCCAAAAAAGTGGGGAGAAGGAAGCTTTTAACGACTGCACGACTGCACTCCATAGCACGGAGTGCTCCAAGGTTCCGGGCTCTAGGTTGAATGGACCCAGTTGATTCAAAAGGTCCTGGACCTTTGGCCCTAAACGCTTTGGATGCGGCCTTTCTGGATCTACCCCTGGACAAAAGAATAAATAAAAGATTATGAAACAAGCACCGACGAGAAGAACAGGGCGAATGCCGAAGAGCCGCAGCGTTTTCTGGATTTGTCACACCAAAGTCAAGTCAAGATACGTAGGTAGCTGTTCATTCTCTTGGTTTCCAGTTTTTATTACATTGCCACGCGAAGAAATGGGTGCATCTCAACGAAGAACTCTGAACCCCAGGTGTCAGTCTGGTGTCAGTCTGGACAAACTCCCTGGGTTCGACTGGATGACCAAAACAGACACCTACTGCGGGTGAACAAAATCCAACAGTTGGAACGGTGGTTGCAATTTGCAACTAGGTACTCCAGTAGAGAGGTTAGAATAAGGGTACCCTTTGTTCTGTAGTCTATTTTAGTAGGGTCCCGAACCCTCCCCCAAAAACGGGTAAAAGGGCACCTAGCTGGGAGAGGCAACAAAGGACCGCGAGGAAAATCGCGGGTCCCACCAAAGCCACACGAAGCCACGTGCGGGTCGCGGCCGCTCCGCATATTTTTGCTCCTTTCGCTGAGCTCTGTGAATGCTCCAGTTTTGCCATGAGCCTCGGACGTCGCTTTCCGTTGGGCGCGAAGCTTCAATGTGACTGAGTTACATGGGGCTTTATAAATGGGTATGGCTGAAAAAACCGGTACCAAAACGGAACCCTGGCAAGTGGAAACATGGACCAAAACCTGCGTAGCCCTTGCTCTGTAACTTTGAGCCACTGCCAAATGAGTCGCACTCGAAAACTGGTACTAAAATGGTCTACCCAGAACCATGTACAGAATTAAGAAGGCGGATATCCGCAGCTATTTATGGCAAGGGGATCGTCCCTTACTAACCTTCATCTACCCGAATCGGTTTTGAGCAAGTGGCTCAAATGGAAACGACCACTAAACCAACAGCTAAAGACTGAACTAAACCGCCGGATGGCTGGGAAGGATCAAGAAAACTCAGCTTTCCATTCACAGTGGATCCCAAACATCGACTTCGCCACGATTACGTAGGAAACCCTTCGATCCATTTTCAGACCCCTACTTTAAATACCCGGCCCTTTTTCAGGGTATCATGTCGACCCTCCAAAAAAGGATGTTTTTACCATGGAAAACCAGCTTTTCCCAAAAACATACCCTGAAAAAAAGAGGGTATTTTGAGTAGGGGGAACTCTTGGTTCTTCTATTGGGTGGGAAACCCCTTTGTTGCCCGACAAACCAGGGGAATGGATGTCGAGTGACTGGGTGAGCAAAGCATCAGACAGGACGTTGGAGAGCTAGGTCCTCCAGTAGAAAGGATAGAACTTTTTCCGTAGTCTATGTTAGTAGGGGAACCCTCCCAACCAAAAAATGGATGAGAAAGGGCACCTAGCTGGGCGACCTAGGAGAGGAACTCCATTGGAAGATTGGGAGGGGCCCTTCTGCGCGTTTGAGGTACCAAGATTCTTCGGGCGCTGAGCGACACATGCAAACATCTGCCCGGCCTTTTTGGTCCCGCCTGCCGACTCAACAAGTGGGTAAGAATTCTGATATGGAACCTCAGAAGCTGATTCCAGACCTAAATGATGTTCTGGTGGTGGTTACCTGAATCCAGACCTAAATGATGTTCACCAAAAAGATGCCAACCAAAGATTAGTTTATACCCAAGTTCACACCCTTCAGCGGATATTGGTCTTGTCGTCTTCCGCTGCCTTCCGACCATTAACCATAGGGCCAACTCTGTGCTTCCCAAAACTTGGCCTCAAAAACACTCGGAGCTTCTCTAAACATACTGCGGATGGTTGCGAAATCATGCATGAAACCAAGGTTGAAACCATAACATGTTGCGCAATTTACGTTGGGGAATCGAATCATTCCATGAGGTTTCTGATTTCGGTGATGCAAAAAGTGGATTTCGCAACCATCCACAGTATCCAAACAAATACCACGATCGGGTTCAAAACTATGCGGCCGTTTTCTGAAATGGTCTTCCAAAGTCCACTAATCTATGGAAGTGCGATTTTTGACGCACAAGCACGCCTGTCAACTGAATTGCCGCTGGAGGGACCCCCGTGCAGCCCTTGTATGATGCATTCCCACCACTGGTTTTGGATGGGATTGTGTACCCCAGAGATGCCCTTTCTACCGCATGGGCATCTGGAGGTTTGGGTCGGGGCAAGCAAGCACCTGACGCAAAATGGACCAATTGTGGAGGGACGAAATCCTGCGCCACCTAAGAACCATAATTCAAACCATTAAGTTTGTTGGTATTTACCGGGGAATCATCAGAAACCAGGGTTTCTTAGGCGGTGCGAAATGGATTTCGCAACCATCAGTCGGAACACCAATGAGACCTGGCAAGGGTCCGGACTCGTACGCAAAGCTCCTGAATGAAGCCCTGGCCGCACATGTGCATCCGGTAACCACTGAACGAAAGCCGGGGACCAGCTGAGCGACCCATTGATTTTGGGTTCTACAAAGATGTTTCTAGAGGTATGTGTATATATATAATAATAATAATAATAATAATAATAATAATAATAATAATAATAATAATAATAATAATAATGTATATATCTATTCAGTAATGTTGACCCCATATCAATCAACCCAGTTTGTTAGTAGGGGGTGTTCCCCTCCAAGAGTGATGACTCCTCCCTAAACCCGGGGACAAGCACCCCCCCCATTATTGGTGTGTGTATGTATATGTATGCTTCACTATAGCCCCCATTGAACTCTCCTTGCTATCGCCAATGAAGGTGTTGGCGCTCTCAGGCGATTCGAATCCGCCTGCATGCCTCTTATGGTCTGAGGCTTGCTGAAAGGAAAAGCAGGTCAGAACGATATCCCGATATCCCATCTTGTTGACGCCTGTTAGTCTCACTTCCTGAGTGGGTTGGCCAGAACAAGTCTAAACTTTCTGTTTACCACTAAAATGGTCTTCCTAAAAGGATTGAAGTCCAGCAACTCAGGGAGTAAGAACTTGTGCAAACATTGTGACTAGAACCGGACATTGGTGCAGTACAAATTCGAATGGGTTAGTGGGGTGCTTTGAACGAAACTGAGTTAGAATTATAGAAACATATCATTCGTAGTCATTTGGCAGCTTAGATTTGTCTACGCGTCGCCAAGGGTGGCTTGCAACGGCAAAAACATCGTTTCCCCGCACGCGCCTGACTCGTCACTTACTGGCCTGAGGGCAGGCGAGCCGCGTCTCCACAATAGTCCGGTCCTGCCCTTGAAAACCATAGCCCTAACACAACTCCCTTAAAATCACCTAAAGGACCTGGAACAAATCAGCTTGAGTCCGGCTTTTGTGGTTGTTTTGTGGCTCATGCCCATGTTCTTCCCAAATGACTTTTCGACTGGACACTTCGACCGCAGACCTCAACTCACCGATCGGTGGATTGGCAACCAAAGCAACCAAACTGTTCCTAGTGGATCCCAGAAACCACTGAGTAGGTAACCAGCTAATTTTCCTCCGAGTTGTTAAAGGGTGGTTCCCTTGGTTACCTACAAACATGGGTACATGGATCCACCGGCGGTCCGTTTGCCACCAAAATGGTAACCCCAACAAATGAGGATGAAGTCCATGAACTCAGGGAGCCAATGGGCAACCCATTGGTCTGAGAGGTGGTACCCCGTTGCCCCCAAGCCACGGGATACACCTCCCATGCGTCATTGGGTTCCCTCCCCGGAATGGAAAGTTCGGTGTTGCTTGTCGGATTTCCCTTTGTACCAACCCCAAAATGAAGAAGTGCCCTCCACAAACAAACAAACAAGCAAACAAGCAAACACACACAGACACGTTGTGGCTTTCCTCTTACCCTTTGACCCCAAGATAAAGAGCCATAACTGAAGGAACCGCGCTGAAATCCAAACTCATTCCCACATCTTCCCACAGGTCTAGCCATACTCTCGCCAGTCAATTCAAGGATCCTTCTATTCAGAGAATGGCCTTAAACTGGCTAGTTTCGGGGAATCGGGAGAACATGTGTGTGTGTGTCACAGGGGACCCTAAACCCCTAATGGGAACCCCGGATTTAAACACCTGTGGTTGATGAAATATTTGGTGTCCCTTTTTTAGTGGGGAGTTAGAGTTAGACAGGGGCTTTCCCGTCCGCATTTTGCCATCCGGTCCTAGGGTCCCCCCCACACTTTTGGGCACATTCTGAATACGCCCACTAAAACAGCCCATTTTCAACATTCAAATTCAATCACCCACCCAATCCAACGCCAAAAAACACATATTCACAGACCCATCTTCATTTCTTACCCCATCTCAACATCACCCTTACACTCATTCAATAACAACAATCATAACTACATACCACCTCAACAAATCCCACCAAAAAATCCAAGCTACATACCAACATTTTTTCATTCCCAAGAAAGTGAATAATATTATTAATTATTCAATGGATGAAGAAGATTTATGCGAAAATTGTAAAACCTGGAGAGATAACCAAGCTATAATCAATTGTGTGTTGAGAATAAAAGGAAGACATAATAGAAATGTAGAAGATGACATTTTGATATTTTTAACTGTAAATAGAATACCACCTTACGATTATGTTAAACAGTTTCTTAAAATCAGTAAGAAAAATATGTAATGATTGCTGATATATTATTGATGTTGTGTTATAGTCAAAAGAAAGGAGAAGATATTCAAGAATATATCAAATTTTATATTGAAATTTATCAAAAGTTTAATGTTAAAAATACAGTGAGAGATATTAATATTATTTTTAAAATGATGTATGAAAGAAGTAATATTTGTCAATTACATTATTATCCTGTACTGAGATTATAATCATAATATAATAATAACATGTAAGATCTTATATGTTGTAATTATAGTGGTAAAAATATTTCTATACTTATATAGTTTCTCTGAAAAAGTGCTTAAAGAAATATTACCTTAATATATTAAGTAAAGTATGCGCGACATTAATAATCTACTATTGGAAATTAGATTGAATATTATGTCATATCACTGTTATGATATATGTCCTTACAGGTTTAATGATATTCTTAAAAACCATTTTCCAACTTGGGAAAGAGTAAAAAGAAACCCATTCTGGGCAATGACTTTAACTGAAGCATTGGATGATACCAAATCTGATTATGAAGTATATTTAGAATTGAAAGCGTTCTATAATTATTCCTACGTTGAAAATAAATTTAAACAGCTCTGGTTCATTGATAGTATTGATGACAAAACAAAACACTTGAGAATTGGTTATTACGACGCAATGAGAGCACTGTTGGAAATGATGCCATTCAGAACAGAGGCAGAATGGCATATCCGATTTTATCATATATTAAGCACGGAAGACTTCTATGACGAGGATGAAGAATTTAGCGATAATGAAAGCACGGCTAGCTACTATTGAGATGAATGTTTCAGTTCTTGATTATACTATAGTTACAACATATAAGATCTTATATGTTGTAATTTTAGTTTAATTTTCCCGTATAAGCCGTGGAGGTGCTTTCCTACATAGGCCTTTCCCATCCGCATATTGCCATCCAATGTCACACAGATTATTTTCAAGATTTGGGTTAACGGTTTTAATTCTCCCTTTTCCATTGGTTAACCATTTTTCGGGGCGAACATAGGGTTCTTTTTTAGACTGTTCGTATTTGTTGGAAATGGGAAAGGGTCTCAAGTTGGATCAAGGGAGAAATTATTGAGATGGGGTTGAGTGACAAAGTAAACATAAGTTTGCATTGAACCCTGCCTTACAGAGTTGTCAGTGTTTTTTGGGTCGCAACAAGCTCCGGTTACGCCTCGATTCCCTGACCCAGGTGCAAGTAGCTCATGAGAATGGCTTTTGGGGGGGCAAAAAGGAGTCGTTCAGTGCCTCCTTACGAGGGACAGCTCGTGTGCCATCTTTGCGTTAGCAAAAAAGTTCAAAGATTTGGCGGGACATTTTGGCTATTTCGGTTCTATCTCCTTTCTTTCTTCTTTTCTTTGTTTCCGGAATTGCAACAGGGCTCAAATTGCAATCGGCTGGATGTGCCATCTTATCCACTAGAACCTCAGATGCCATCAATACGAAACCTCCTATATGTTCACCTGCGTTCTTGGTGCTGGCGGCCACCCTTCGGGGCCCGGCAGGATCCGCAAACGAAGCAACTCTCCCGGAATCGCGACGCAGCTCAGGGCTTCAGAGGCATTTGGCCCGCGAACGCATAAAGAATTGCAACCGAGCAGCACGCAGGAACACTGATCGATCAGGGGCGCAGACATCTCGCACTCAAGCGCGTCATCACTTTTCCCTCAGCTTGCAACATTCTTGCGCGCCAGCCCTGGCTAGCCGGGACCTGGGCGACAATGAGGGTGGCCCAAGAATCTGAAAAGCGCAAGTACAAAGCCAGGCGCCCGGGCAGACTTTGGAAGCTCAAGTTAATTGAGGCCCAAGTTAAACGACTCGGTGCACCAAGGCGGGAACTATCAGAGCTGGCAGTCCGCTTGGCCACCGCGCGAAACACATTGGGTGGAAGGAACCTGTGTCAGCACTTTGACAAGCCAAGAAACTCTCAGCCTGCGCTGCTAGCGGCATGCGCCCCTGCGTCTGACCAGGCCTGAGGCAGGTTGGAAGGCCGCAGCAGCTGCTGGCGTTGGCCCGGCGGCCCCGGCAGTGTCCACTGCGGGAACCACCGCGGCCACCACACCCTGCCAGGGTGACAGCTGCAAAGCTCCAAACCCGCGCAGCAGGAGGCCTCGTCCAGCGACGAGTTAGCTGCCTTGGGCGACGGGTTTGATCACTTGCCGGCTGCCTTGGCTCATTGTTTGCTGCTCCCCCTCCGGCTCTTCTAAAAGGTACCGCGTTCCCGATCGACCGTATGTCGAAACAATGATTTTCACCTTTGGGGAGGGGGTGGGGGGGGGGGGTGTTTCTCTTTTGTCCTGTGCTTGATTCACAGTATTCCACTCATGATGCGATCCGCCTGCCATCTATTTGGCTCAAGGCCTGGTACAACCTGTAGCTATCTCAGGAAAACAAGTGCGCCTTGCTGATTGTGGTACGTTGCACAATTGTTTCCATTGGGAAACGAAACGCTGCTTATTTACATATTTGGTCGTCTACCTCTTCCATCACATATTCATTCTGCATCGGGGTAGGTCCACACAGGGACCTACGAGGTGTATATTCCGGGGCCACTTGGGCCCCCTATTTACAACCTCAATTGTGGTAGCGGAGCAGGTTTTCCGAAAGCAGGATGTCGAGTGAAGATGACTTCTATGGAACAGAACCACCCGCGGCGGCTTTTCTCGGAAAGCAATAGCGAAGCAAGGAGTAGCACAGCAAGGGGCCGTTTCCCCAGTGGCTGAGTACCTTAGTGTAGCAGCAGCAAAGCAAGCAGCAGCGCAGCAGCTGTGTGCCTCAGTGCAGCAGCAAAGCAAGCACTGCACCTTCCCAAAAAAAAACGTGGCTCCGGCGGCTTAACTCACATGCTAACAAGGGTCTGCCTTCTTCTTCTGCTGCGCTGCGCAAACAGCTCTGTGACATACTGGACAACTTGAGAAACAGATCCGGCGCCATACGGCGAGCAAAGACGTGCAAGACAGCTGCCACTGCCAGTGATGGTGCGCGCTGGGAACTGAAATAGCTGTACAAACACCTTTGCCAAGCTAGATGCAAACCCCCGTGACAGCTTTCCAGAACAGAAAAACGAACTGGCCACCTGTCTTGAACCAATGCCACCTCGAGCATAAAAGCGCTCAACGGATCACTTTCAAGGGGAAATACTAAGCAAGCTGTCCACGTATAATGGGTGGACCAAAAAACCACTGTCTCAACTCTTCGCAGCTGCACAACTCACCACTCAAACGCAACAAGAGAATGTAGCACAATGAAAGCACCGCCGCGGTTGAAAGCCGCCTCATCTAAGCCAAACACTGCGAATCTCAAAATCATGATGCTCAAACGATTAGTTGGGGGGGAGCCTCCAAACATGGTCCTCTTGAAGCCTTGGATTGACGTGAAATGCCTTCCCAGCAAAAAACACTGGACAAACACGTGCAAAATGACAGTTTAGCTTAAAAGGTGCCGGTGTAACTTCTCAAAAAAACCCTGCGGTCGCAAAAGAGCGCGTTACCTTCTAAAAGACCCCTGCTTCGAGAACGGCCCCAGAGGGCGGTCTCAGACTCAAGGGCCCTGATGCCCAACGGCCAACCCAGTT